TCACCGTCAGTTTACTTGTCATATGCACCCTCTAAAAGGCCTATCAGCGTGAGTTGTGTGAGCTGCATTCTTTAAGGCTATCACCGACGGTTTGCTTGCCATAAGAACCCTCTTAAAGTCCTATCACCGTTGGTTGTGTGAGATTAACTGCCTTATCTTAGGCTATCACCGCTGGATATTTGTATAAAGAACCCTCTTAAAAGCCGTTAACCGTGGATTGTGTGAGCTTTATTGCATTCCCTCAGGCTATCACGGCGGGTTTGCTTGCGATAAGAACCCTCTAAAAGTCGTCCTGTCACAGTTGGTTATAATTATGAGCTTTATCGCACTTCCTCAAGCTTTCACATTGGGCTTACTTGCGAAAAGAACACTCTAAAAGGCCGTATCACCGTGTGTTGTGTGAGCTTTGCTGCATTCCCTCAGGCTTTCACCGTGGGTATACTTGCCATAATAACTATCTAAAAGGCCTATCACCGAGGGGTTTGTGAGCTTAACTGCATTCCCTAAGGCTGTCACCTTGCGTTTACTTGCGATTAGAACCCCAAAAAAGGCATATCACCGAAGTTATCCCAACGGAATACGGTAAAGCTCACACAACCAACGATGCTTAACCTTTTTTAAGTTTTTTATCGCAATAAAACCCAAGGTGATAGGCTCAAGGAATACAGTAAATATTCAACAAACCACGTTGAAAGGCATTTTGAAAGGTTCTTATGGCAATAAAACAAACTTTAAGAGCCTCGGGGAATAACTTATACAACTCACTGTGTTAGGCCTTAAAGAAGGTTATTATTGGTATACGGTGATAGCCTCGGGGAATTCAGTAAAGTTCAAACAACCTAAGGTGACAGGCCTTTTAGAAGGTTCTTATCGCAATAAAATCAACGGTTAAAGCCCAAGTTAATACGGTAAATCTCGAACAAACACGGTGATTGGTCTTTTATAGGGTTCTTGAGGCAATAAAATCAACGCTTGTTGGTATAGCCTCATGGAATTCAGTAAAGCTTAAACAAATTACGTTGATAGGCCTTTTTGACGTTTTTATCGCAATAAAACCCACGATTCGAGCAACCCACTGTAATAGACCAGACCTTTTAGTGGGTACTTATCGCAATAATGCCCACGGTGATAGCCTCAGTGAATAGGGTAAATCTCGAAAATTCAACGCTGGTTGTCCTTGTTCAGGGATCTTTTTGCAATATAACCCACGGTTATAGCTCGGGGAATACAGTAAAGTTCACACAAACCACTGTTAAAGGCCATTGAAAGAGTTTTTATCTTCATAAAACACACTGCGATAGCTTCAGCTACAACAACCTACGGTGATAGGCCTTTTAAATAGTTCTTATCGCAATATAACCCACGGTGATCCAATTAAATCCTCGATGATAGCCTTAGTGAATACAGTAAAGCTCACAACTGTCATAACCCATGGGGATTAACCTCGATAAAATTGCGAGGCTGACATAACTTACGTTTATAATTTCATTTAAAGTGTAAATTTTAAAAATGATGAAAGTATTGAAAATATAGATGGACCAGATTCTAATGAAGAATATTCTTCCTTGAAAAAGATTTGCCTGATGTAGGGGCAAAAGAAAGTGACTTTAAATAAGCTGCTTACAAATGACTTTTCAAAAATGTTGTGGATAGGAAAAGGGATGAACTTCATTTAAACTGTATTCAAAAGAAAAATCACATCTTTGTCATGAATACTTTATTTTTAGCTCACCTTGCACAAAGTGCAGGTGAGCTTTTAGGATGGCCAACCAAATGGCGTCCGTCGTCTGTCGTCCGTCCACATTTTAAATATTCTAAGGACATCTTCTATGATACCACAAGGCCAATGTTAATGAAACTTGGCAGGAATACTCTTTGTATGAAGCTTTATCAAGATTGTTCAAAGAATTCCATTTCATGCAGAACTCTGGTTGCCATGGCAACCGAAAGAAAAATCTTTAAATATCTTCTTTTAAAGAACCGTAAGAGCTAGAGCTCAGATATTTGGCATGAAACATCTTCTAATGAGTGTCTATCAAGTTTGTTCAAATAAAAGCCCTAGGGTCAAAATTGGCCCCGCCCCAGGGGGTCATTGATTTTCCCTATATGCATATAGTAAAAACTTAAAAAATCTTCTTTTAAAGAACCCAAAGAGCTAGAGCTAAGATATTTAGCATGAAACATCTTCTAGTGTGTGTCTACCAAGTTTGTTCAAATAAAAGCCCTGGGGTCAAAATTGGCCCCGGCCCGGGGGTCATTGATTTTCCCTATATGCATATAGTAAAAACTTAAAAAATCTACTTTTAAAGAACTGTAAAAGCTAGAGCTAAGATATTTGGCATGAAACATCTTCTAGTGAATGTCTACCAAGTTTGTTCAAATAAAAGCCCTGGGGTCAAAATTGGTCCCGCCCCAGGGGGTCATTGATTTTCCCTATATGCATATAGTAAAAACTTAAAAAATCTTCTTTTAAAGAACCCAAAGAGCTAGAGCTAAGATATTTAGCATGAAACATCTTCTAATGAGTGTCTACCAAGTTTGTTCAAATAAAAGCCCTGAGGTCAAAATTGGCCCTGCCCCAGGGGGTCATTGATTTTCCCTATATGCATATAGTAAAAACTTAAGAAATCTTCTTTTAAAGAACCCAAAGAGCTAGAGCTAAGATATTTAGCATGAAACATCTTCTAATGAGTTTCTACCAAGTTTGTTCAAATAAAAGCCCTGGGGTCAAAATTGGCCCTGTCCCAGGGGGTTATTGATTTTCCCTATATGCATATAGTAAAAACTTATAAAATCTTCTTTTAAAGAACTCAAAGAGCTAGAGCTAAGATATTTAGCATGAAACAAGTTCTAATGGGTGTCTACCAAGTATGTTCAAATAAAAGCCCTGGGGTCAAAACTGGCCCTGCCTCGGGGTCATTGATTTTCCTTATATGTGTATAGCAAAAACTTAAAAATCTTCTTTGAAAAAACCCAAATAGCTTGAGTTTAGATATTATACATGAAACATCTTTAAGTAAATATCTACAAAGTTTGTTCAAATAAAAGACCTGGGGTCAAAACTGGCCCTGCCCCAGGGGTGTCATTGTTTTTAACTATATGTGTATAGTAAAAACTTAAAAATCTTCTTTTAAAAACCCCAATGAGCTAGAACTTAGATGTTTAGCATGAAACATCATCTTATGGGTGTCTACCAAGTCTGTTCAAATAAAAGCCCTTGGGTAAAAATTGGCCCCGGGGGGGGGGTGTTGGGGGGCTATATACAGGTGAGCGACCTCAGGGCCATCATGGCCCTCTTGTTTTAGGGTAGGTTTAGGGCACATTTCATATAATGTAAACTTATGGGGAAATCAGTACAGGAGTCTGTAGTAGAATGTTACTTTCCAGAACGCGACAACCCAACTTTTTATGGGAGCATATAGCGTTGCACTTGTCCGTCCGTCCGTACGTCTGTCCGTCCGCACTCACAGGAGAGTAATTATGTGGCTAGAGGGACAATAGGTAACTGTTCTTTTTCTTTGATGTCATTCATTCCGTAATGCTTTTATGTTGCTATTTTCTTTTGTGTGGCTAAAAAGAACAATAGAGAAAACAATAGAGTAGCCACATAATTACTGTCCTGTGACAACTTCCGTACGTCTGTCCGTACGTCCCGAAATCTTGTGAACGCAACTCCTCTTAAACCGGATGGCAGATTTTGCTTAAACTTCCAGGGATGACCAACCTTAATGTGTAGATGGTAGTAAAGGAAGGAATTTTTGCTGCGACCAAATTTAACAGAATTATGGCCCTTTGTTGATTGTTTCACTATATACCATATAGAACTTTTGTGAACGCAACTCCTCTTAAACCGGATGGCAGGTTATGCTTAAACTTCCAGGGATGAATAACCTTAATGTGTAGATGGGAGGAATTTTTGCTGCAACCAAATTTAACAGAATTATGGCCCTTTGTTGATTTTTTCACTATATACCATATATATGTTGTCACAGGGGGCATCCGTGTCCTTTGGACCCAGTTCTTGTTTAAACTTGCTTTAAATGATCTTTGAAAAATGCGAAGAAGGACGAAGATAACTGAACCCTTATACGATGATTGCCAAGAAAGGATTCATTTGGATTCTGTTTTATAAAAGACGAAACAAGTAATACTAAATAGAAATGCACGTATTATATTTTTCGAACTAATAATTTGTATGCAATAATATGGTTCAAACAAAGCTGTCGGTGCAGACTTGAGAAGTATCCAACTCAGTTTCTCGAAAGGACTTCGTTTTTTCGCCCTTAACAGTGACTAGTACAAGCTAGTACAAATTCTTATCAGTAAAGGCGAATTATCATGAAGTGCAATGAATATAAAATTAAATGGATTTTCAGTCCTCCTTTTTTAATGTTAGTAACTTTTTCATGAGCATTGAGCAATGGATTATTTTTATTATTATTTTATTATATTTTTTGTATGTGAATGCCGTTGAAATATGAGTTAACATTGTCACATTGCTGTTGAAAATTTTTATATTCTATTTCTTTGTTTCCCGAATATAAGAATAATGAATGAACGGAAAATAAAATAATTATAAAGATTTTCGACAGGAGATATGGCCTCTTGTTTGCGTCTGTATAACATGTCAGGAATCTTTTTAAATAATTTATAATACCGCAAACTTCGTTTTTTTCGTAAAAATAAATGTAATTTCTTCATAAATTTGCATCAGCCGTGTATATAAATATTTTATAAACTCTGATTGACGCAAAACATCAATTGAAAAATGGTTTTAACAGAAATTGATCTTTTATTCAAAGGCAATAAAGCATGCGCACTCGACTATACGACTGAAACTTTCACGAGCTGCTGCACCGAAATGCATGCTTTTTTATATTTCTTTTAGAAAATTCAAGCTTTATTGATATTCTATTCTTTAACCGGAAATGAGCAATGCGATTTATGTGGTCACGTGGTCGGTAAAATTGCAGACGACTCTCCAATAAACAGGTTTCTATTTTCTAGAATTTTAATCAACGTAATGGGGTGATTGTTTATTTAACTGTGCATGGAAACATGGCATTGATCATAATTAATGATCAACAATAAATTATTTGTAGACGAAGGGCCGTTTGATACAAAATTGGATCGTTGGGTAAACCGATATCCGTGATTTAAAAAAAATAGTTCGGATGGAAACGGCGGAAAACTTACGATTTCAGTTGCACTAAAAGTAGAAATAATATGAATCCTCTAAAACAGTACAATTATTTTTCTTTCATTTTCATTTACTTGATAATTTTTCAAAGTGTAAAATTAGAAGTTGTGGCGGCTGAAACTCGCGGACGTGTGATTTTCGGGAAATGTTGCGAAAGGCGAACGGATATTACATATGTAGTAGGTACGTACGGAAAATGTGCCGGAATGTGTGAGGAAAGGCCAGTATGCACGGCATATAGCTACCACCGACTTTCGTGGATTTGCCGGCTACATACTCAAGAATGTCCCTTGGAGACTTGCGTTGGATTTCTACATTCAAAGAAAGAGAATTGGACAATGGTAAACAATTGCCTAATTTCTAAATTATTCGATGGCATAAATGTGACATTTATTTTTTATTTATTTTTTTTTTATACTATTTTTCTATACTATATATATTTTTAAGGACTTACTTTTAACATCTTGTCGTCGCCCTGATGTGTTGTTTGTCTCTTCTAGGCATATTTTGAGACATGCCCGTGCCAAGATGGTCAAGTCTGTGTGAAAGAAGGAGGAAGCCCTGACTTCGCATGTGATATTAGAGGTACTAAATTCTCTGCTTTTTTAAAGAAATTGAGAAAAAAAGAATTTCTCGGATTAAATGGGTTGATTATTGTTTATCTAAAGTTGCCACAATTTAAACCGTAAGGGCGAAAGCTCGATATTAGTGATAGAATAAAAACAACAACAGTAGAACAACAGTATTTGTACCCATTCGATACATTCTTTTGTCTGGTTTATAACACATAAGACGCACCGAAATGACATTCGAAGGCGCCGATGTACAAAACCCGTGCACAAATACTCTGGTGGGCAATCGTCTTTCTGTGTAGGCGTATCGTGAAGGCCGGAAGAAAATAGGTCTAAATGTGAAATACTTAGTCATAATGATAGCAAAACGGAGTGGTATTTTAACTTCCATATACAAAATACTAAATCACTATCAATATCAGAATTAAAATGCAACAGAGGCAAAAACTGGCTAAGATTTGCGGGGCACCAAAATAAAAAGCTTTTAAAAATAAATATGAAAACATTTTTCGAGGACTAATGGGCCTTTAAAGAGAAATCTGTTTGGAGTGGCACAGTCGTACTTAAATAAAATGATTGTCTTAATTATCTTTGTGTTAATGGAATGCTGATCAACTTTATTTTTGCAATTCTAATGTTGTTGTTGTTGTTGTTGTTGTTGTGATCTTTTTTTACTTTCAATATACCATTTTTATAAGACGCTTTTGATTGGCTACATGATTTTACATAATACGGACAAATGCTTTAACTGGCTTTTGTTATGCTGTATTTTTTTCATTTGATTCTTTTAATTTGAATTATAATACAGAAAGTGTTCATATAAAATATTAACTCACGCATGAATGGGAAACATTAAAATTTAACAGTTAATTTATTTGTATTTGTTTTTTTTTCTCCGTTTGAAGTACCGATAATAATACTTAATAAACAGTTCATTACATCATTTATGCATTAACGCCAAAGAACTTGGTTGGTAATTCTGTTTTGTTAGCGATTATGTTTGAAAAGAAACTTAATACCTTAGTTTCAGATAGGATATTAACAATGTTTAACGGAAACCTATACAGAATTTTGTGTTGTTAAAAGACGCATAAAGCCTATAAAGCCTTAAATGCTTTCATATTTATTCTCCAAAGTTTTTTTTATTTTTGTGGTCTGTAACGGTAACTCATTGTCCCAATTTTCATAGCCACCCTTTGCTTCTTATGCATTTTAGCAATCAATATTGTTACAACGATTTGTTTCAACGATTTAAGTTGATGTTTTTTTGTTGTTTTTTGTTGTTGTTTGTTTGTTGTTGTTTTTTTGTTGTTGTTGTTGTTTTGTATGAAACTAAAGTCCAAATACTATATATTTTTTGTATATATTTTGCTACTTTTATGACTAAAGTTTTATTCTACATTCAGCCCTAATTCCTTCAGGTGATTTCACATCGCATCTCACATGTTCTTAAGCCATTATTACAAATTTATAAAATACATAATAGTTCTTTGTAAATAATGAAAATTGTATTCATTTCCGACGCTTAGTGTGAGAAGTACTGGCATGCGAGTACATGTTTGATTGAGCCAGGGATATTTGTTTGTTTTGCGTGTAAGAGTGAACACCAGATATAATATAAAATAGAATAGCTGTTCAAAATGAAATATAGTTCAATCTTATATGTAAAACAAATAAATGTTCTTTTTATTTCATGCATTTTAAGTGATTTAAGTATTTTTAACTGATCTTGCCGAGTGACGCCACGCATTTTCCCTTGTGACGTCACATCATCAATTTTTGAAATATAGGTCTAATTCTGGGTAAGTGATAAATAGAATATTTTATTTTATTTTACCAATGAAATATGGTGCTATATTAGACAAATACATGTATATATAATATTTGTGGTAAAATAAATAAAAATAAATAAATAAAAACTTAACATGATAAAATTCTAAATATTTTACTTGTCGTCCCGGTTTGTGAAAAGAATATGGAATTTTATCAGATTTCGTGAATATATATTTCATATTTTACTCAAATGAAAAATATATCCTCGTAATATTCGTGTAGATCAAGGCTTATTACTGTATTTTTTGAACTCGTTCAATAAAATTATATTATTCAGCTCGTTCAATAAATTCAGTATTGAACTTACACTCATTTCATATACTCTATTTATCACATACCCGTGCCGATTTTGTGACTCCGTTAAACTGGTATTGCACGGCCGTAAATATATTTTGACATGACGTCAAATGCATTATATAAACAAAGCGTTTAGACGCCCAAAATATAAGCGTTACACTATAGCACCATCAGTGAAATATGGTACTTTTCCACTGTAAACTGTCTTTATTTTTGGTATATAGAATAGAATATCAATTTCGTGTAAGTTCATTACTGATTTATTTTTATCAAGTGGTATGAAAATAAATATTTCATGTGGTGCGATAGACATGCGTGAAATATTATAATTTTCATACCACAAAATAATTTTTTTTATAGAAAAAAACTTGAATTTTTTGTTAATAATATATACATTTTTTTTGACATTATAATTTGAAAGCTTTCTCCTTCAATTTTGTCTATTGGCTGAATTTAGGAGAAAACAGTCCGACAAGACACTGAAAATACGGAAAATCTTTGCTGTGGACAAAATAACTATTTACAGTGAAAATACGGAAAATGAAAATACGCATTTTTATCAATATTTCTCAATATTTTATTTATAAGTATATAGTAAAATATTCTTTTAACTAAAGACCGTTTAAAGTGAAAAATAATCATTCTTCATTGACGCGCCTAAAATGTAGTGCTAACATTTAGCCAATCTCCTACGCAGTGATCTCCCCTTATCAGTACAGAGGTCTCTGTCATCACAAACATTTAAATATCAATATATTTTTTTACAATTCTGCCAAGGGAGGTAATCACTGTGAGGAGTTTGACATTTAGCGCGTTTTATGCTATGTTTGTATAACGCAAATGACGTCACGTCAAAATTATATGCACGGCTCTGCAATACCGCTTTTACGTAGTCACAAAAGCGACACGGGTATGTTATATATTAAATATACGTTCTTCTAAGTTTCTCGTTAAAATTGCAACATCCTAGAAGCCTAATATCATTTGTGTCTACATACGCATTTGTGGCGCAGTTATATGTCGCAACGACGGTCACTGTCGCGCTTGCCGTCAAATGTCGCATCATTGCAGCTAAATGTCGCAACCGCCGCTAAATGTCTCACAATTTGTCGCAATGATGACGTTAAATGTCGCACCATTTTCCCTTTCCGTCAAATGTCGCAAGACTAACGTTTAATGTCGCAATATCTTAATTCATGTTAAACAACTGGTATCATGCCCATATTAACTTTAGGGACAACCTATCTATCAGATAAGATAGGATTTGCTGTGATGTACAAAATAGTTGGCTGAAATTGAAGTCATCTTAGTCGGTATTATAAATTGATGACCATAATTATGCCAAAGAGCCCACTGGTGATTAAACACATTTGCATACGGTTTCTCATTTAGCAGCCCAAATGTCGTTGATTTGAGCTACGACATCAGCTTGAGATGGATCTAACACACTGAGAAGTTTATTCTAGAAAGATTCAATTTATCAGAATTTTTATATTTTGTGTCGGAAATTCACCTACAAGCATGTTTGCTTACGATTTTATCGGTATTACTTGTATTATACTCTATGTATTATTATTTTGCCACAGTCATATTACAGTTTTACAAATTTCATTGATGAATCATCACTTTAAAGCAGCACGCCTCCAGATTCATGCTAATTTTCATGAAAATTTGAAAATGTATTTAAAAGTATATCATTGTAAAGTTACCAAAAGAGTGCAATTTACACGTTATCAATAGCACTTCCAACCCGTGTAATTTACCAAAAAGATTGTAAAATATACAAAAATAGCCCTTACTGCGATAGTAACGCAGTAGAAATATAGTTACAAATGCTGAAAAATAGGTCATAAATCGCACATAACATGTCAAATTTTACTAGAATTTTGAATCTTTTTACTTTTCCTAAAGTCTGTATACATTTTTCTCAGGTTTGATTTTATTGAACTAATTTTGCTCATCTGGAGGCGTGCAGCTTTAAGCCACATATGCAAAATATCAACAGAGCGTGTCTTTTCTGTAAAATGTTACAGTCGTTCAAACTAGTCCAGTCGAAGTTGTTGTTTTTTTTATTCGTATCGTACTTTTATCCGCAATTAAAGCTTTAAAGTATCATTCGTCATATTTTTCTCATGTTAATGCAAAAGGTTCATCAAAAAACTTTTTATTGACACGCAGTAACATTCACTACGCAGTAACATTCACTACGGCCAAATTTTCCTATGTATCTAAGTAAACCTTAGTTAGGTCACTCACTGTTGAGCTCATAGACGTGGAATTACTCTTCTAAATTTCATGTTATGAGAAATCGCATTGCATTGATGGACTTCGTTTGATTTGAAAATCAGTTTAGGAGTGTCATTAAAATTTGTTTTCTCGCTTTGTAATTTTTCCATTTTGAGAAAATATAACAAATGAATTTACCAGTATAGAGATGCCTGTAAGCCTGTGTAAACTACGTATGGCTGCCTAACTTTAGAAATTTCTAATCTTGATATTCCAATATTGATAGTCGGTTCTAAGTGAATGATACATGTAGTCTTACAAATTCAGCCTTGCAAATATAAACAATCTTACCAATGTCAGAATTGTCGCTTGCTCAAGTTTAAACTCTTATTTTTTCAAGCAGCCCATCACATTTCCTTAGGAAGGATAAGTCGAATATAGAAATTAAATGTGTATGCCCCAAGGTTAATATTTGCAAACGCAGTGTGAAGTACATACTGTAGTCAATGCATATAAAACGTTTTAGAAACGTTCATGTTTTGCAAAAATAAAGTAATTCTATTATATAAACAAAATAACAAGTAGAAAAAACTGTAAACTTAAAATTGCCAAGAAATGAAATATGATCTTTTTAAAATTTCATAGCGGACTTGAAAAGTCGACAGCTGATACCCCGCTTGATTTGCATTACTATTTTTGTATATAACCAATTCAAGACATATGAGAAAAATAGCCTCCTTATCAATAACGATAAGGAATGGCATGTTTTTATAATCTGCCCTTTATTAAAAGGGTGGACATCTCTTTGTCCCTTTGTCGTGAGAGAAGGGGAATCCTGTGATGCGTGTATGTGGTCGCACGGTCACTTTCATTACAATACGTCCTCGATGCATGTATGTGGTCGCATGGTCGAAAATCTCTAAAGAAATAAAAACGTTTTCAAAACTGTTATGGTACGGAACCGTCTTGTGTAAAATATTATTGTTCTTTAAAAAACTGTTTCAACTTCTAATAGGAGTTTTAAAAACCTAATTAGGACTTTCATATTCCTAAATAGAAGTGATAAAATCTAATTACAGCTTTCTTACTCATAATTAGACGAAATAAACATAAGTACAACTTTTTACCTCTTAATAAGGATTTTTAAAAGCCCTATTAGCAGAAATAAAAAGAACATTTGATAGTATTAGTAATTATGAAACAATATCTTAAGCACCAATTTTAAAGTAAAAGCCTAATTTGAACTTTGTTACTTCTAATTAGATTTTAATACAAAGAACAAATAAGAATTTAACGCTCCTATTAAGTTTTTAAAACTTATAATTAGACATGTAAAGTCCTAATTAGTTTATTTAAGACACATACACAGTGAGGTCATATAGCGACTTTCCAGGAAGATCTCTGGTACCCCTCCGTGCACGAAAGGGAATCTTAGTAGGTAGATCAACCCACGTTCCGTAAGCTAGCTGGATAGATTCATCACATGAATGCCAATTCCCAGGCAGGATTTGAAGCCACAGCTGTGAGGGGCAATTAGACGGATACTAGCCTAGTTATAAATTTGCAAAAGTACACACAGCAATACACTAAGAATATGAGTATTACACTGTATATGCACTTAACATGTAGCGTAATTGCATATTATACTATGAACATTTTAAGTGAATCTAAGATGGAAAAAATGCAATACCATTAATATTTATAGTCATATTATTAAGTATCATGTTTTATTAAAAACATGAAAGAATTACATATATATGTGGAAGTTGATATTACAAAAAAAATAGTAATTCATCATATAAATGTCATTTTTAATCAAGTAAATCTAGATAAACATTTTTTGCTCAAAAATATTTAGTAAAAATACGAAATTGTTCTATTGTTTTATCAATATTTGAAATATTTCTTGAAAATATGCCAATTGTAGACCAATCCAATTTAATTGAGCGAGACATTTCTTTATATCCCAAAGTATCAATAGAACTACTTTTACAATACTGCTGCGCATAAATACTTACACTGTTGGGTTTATTTTAACATGTTTCACTGTACAGAATGCGGTCCACCGAGCGAGCCAATAAACGGAAGGGTGTTGGGTAATGACTACAGAGTTGGACGTCATATACGGTATCTTTGTGACGTAGGGTTTGTAATGGAAGGAAATCAAGTCAGTGAGTGTCTTGGTAACGGACAATGGAGCGTGGAAGAGCCTATTTGTAAAACCGGTATAAATCAATATTTTATCTTTGAAAATAATTAATTATATTGGCTTCTATAAATAGAACATGTATTTCTTAGTGAAAACGAGGCAAAAGTTTGACTCATCAACCACTCTAAAAAACTAGTAAAGTGTTAGACTTACTTTGATAAAATGTAGAACCCCTTTGCCAGTTGCCGGGCCTTATAAATACGTGCCGGAGCCCAGTTAATATTAGTGAATAACTAATACATACTGACTGATGTTGACATATATAATAATGGAAAATATATAGACGAGGATATACAATGCGCCTTTGGCTAGCATAATATTAATTTATTTAACGAGTTAAATATATCTTATAATTAACCTACAAGAATATTCTGTTATCCAAAATACAAACTGTTTTTAGTAAGGAAAGACACACCTTTTCAGTGACGTGCTAACATTTAGCAAAATAACGTCACGCTGAAATATATGCATGGCCGTGCAATATCATTTTTACGGTGTCGCAAAAGTACATGTAGTAGTATTGTAGTCTAATTCAATTTACCTTGCAGTTTGTCCAGTTATTGGAAGTTTAGAGTGGGGCCTGTCGTGTTACTTCATTGTCACAACCCTGACGAAAAATTTCATTGATGCATCTGTAAGTTAAAAACCCTTTTAACAATGAAATATGTGTATAGGCCTTTAAATAATATAATACTTCAAGCTTCTATAATTACGAGATAATTGTTAGAGATGTTATGTTAAGATTATATTTGGAACACTGTAGTCGAGTGATTTAGACTGCAAACTAGGTAAGTTTAGACGATTTCATCGGCCAAGATTCTACACTCAAAAAGATGAGATAACTGATATCATATCATGTATCAACATTTAAATCAGATTGTTTCCCCTGAATCTTGTTTATAATTTAGCGACAGCGTAAGTTCTAATGATAAGTTGATAACCTGAGGTTGTGTAGTGAATGACCCAGGGAATCCATTGACTGGGATACATGATAATCAACGAAAAAACGTCTATGCTTCCGCCGGGATGTGGGAGTGGGGGCCCTTGCAATCTCGGCTGATACCACGCCCTAAACACAAAGTTTTGCAGTTATATGTAACCCTGAAACAGATAGGCCTATGGTTACCTTTCCAGAATCCCTATGAATAAGATATTGCAATTATGAAAATCATTCTACATTACGTTAGCTAGCATACATTTGATATTTATCTTTGTAGGCATATTGCGCGAACAACGGTGGTCACGTTATTCATGTGACGTCACAAGAAGAGCATGACTTCATAACAAGCAACCTGTTAACACCACCGAGTAAGTGCAATTTTTTAACGATTTTGACTTTATAAATAAACACACAGATGCTTGGCGGTCAGATCCTGCCTCCAACGTGATACGTCATCAAATATTTTGATATTTAAACACGAATGGGACATCTGTTACAACGATAAAACTGGTTTTTAAACAATTTTCACACATATGAAAAAAACAACGTTTACCACCAAGTCTAAGTATAATTTGTACCTCACCGATATTTTCAGATATCTCATGAGAAACTTTGAATAAGATAACAAGAGGTTATTATATATATTATTGAGTGCAATACTGAATTCTATTGGACGCATACACAGCTGTCAAATCTATATTGGACGAGACGTAAACCGAATCTGATGCAGGTTTTGCGGCTGTGAATGAGTCCAACAGAATCATTATTGTTGATGAACTCTTTACTTCACACCTTTTGACATTTATATACATATTTGCTATTTCAAATACAAAAAGGAGGTGATATAATTTATTGTTTTACCTTGAATATGAATATGAGGCTAGATGCATTTATGATAAGCATTTGATAAACACTGTCGATATTTTGGACTCTGAAAATAAAAACGAGGTTATATGGGGTACGATACGCAAATGATATAGAAGCTTTTGGACTCTGAAAATGAAAACGAGTTTACATGGGGTACGATATATATTGATATAGAAAATTTTGGACTCTGAAAATGAAAACGAGGTTATTATATGGGGTACGATATGAAAATGATATAGAATATTTTGGAGTCTGAAAATGAAAACGAGGTTATATGCGATATGATATCGATATGCATTTGGTAAGGATATTTTGGACTTGGAAAATGGAAAGAAAACTGAATTGATAAGATTTGATCTAGTATTGATTTCTATTAGGATATCACGGGGTGAAACTACTGAATGTACATTGTTTTTTTCTTTTCATCAGGTGTGAAATAACTTAAGATATATTATTAAGGAGATAAAGATAAATGAGCCGTGTCACGACAAAATCAACACAGTGCGTTTGCGACCAGCATGGATCCAGACCAGCCTGCTCATCCGCGCAGTCTGATCAGAATCCATGCTGTCCGCTATGGTTTCTTCACTTGTTATAGAATTGGTAAGCGAACAGCATGGATCCTGACCAGACTGCGCGAATGCGCAGGCTGGTCTGGATCCATGCTGGTCGCAAACGCACTATGTTGGTTTTGTCGTGACGCGGCACTAATATCGTTATTCATCTCTAATTCACAGTGAATGCTGCTGTCGAACGGTATTGGGTCGGTGTCGTGCGCAACACTACAGACGGGCTATGGTATTTATCAGACTCGAGCAAAGCGGTTGTGTACATGGCATGGGCGGCTTACGAACCTACAAATGGTTCAAATTGTGCTACGTATAAATTCGACACAACCGCATCTGCATGGAAATGGTTCTCAGAATCATGCACAGACATTACAAGATATCCTATATGTGAATATGAAAAATAAACTTGGACATTTTATTTCTATAACAAACTGAAAGATATAGGAAAAACGAAGCCACTCCTCTATCATACGTGTAATGCCCCGGTAAATAGGGGAAATTGCTTGTTTCAGTGAAATATGAAACATATCACACCGAGGAGGATGTATTTTTAAATACAAGTAAGACCGCGAGACAGACTACGATTTTCATCATCATATTGTTTGTAAGCCGTTACTTACGCATTTTGATATATTTCTGATTGTAATAATTTCTTGTGACATTGTCCTTTTTGTAGATATTAAGTGCATTAAGCTTGGCTTAATTATGTTGTACTCTTGTACTTTGAACAACATCGTATCAGTTAACCTGTATATTTTTTGTAATGGATTCGTCCTGTTTTGAACTCACAGCAGTCCATTTAAAGTTTAGGGGATTTTGATAAAATAATACAAAGATTGAGCTACCAAACAGACAAGAGCCTTGTCATACTACAGAAAAACAGACCTGGTTATATACCGGTGGCAAAGGTTAATTACTTTCGGATGAACTTTACGTAATTATTAGCAAAAATCTAGTAGCTCGCCGCTTTAAAGGTATTGTAATTAACAATTTAATTGACAAATTTCACAACTGATTAATATGTTTAATATACCGAAGTGCCCTGGTACCTATCTTAACGATCAATTTCAAAAATAATTATCGCCTTACTTGGCGTTATAAGAACATAATTCGGACATTGTTACTCCTAATAAAAAGTTTAAATAGCCTTATTAGGAGCAAAAATCTAATTAGGATTTTGTAACTCCTAAATAGAAGTTTAAAAAAAAAATCTAATTTGGAGAGAAAATACTCATAACGACTCTGTAACTCCTAATTAGCCCACTTAGCAAAATATAATTTCTAAATTAGGAGATAGAATAACCCTATTAAGACTTGATAAACTCCTAATTATTAGAAATAAAATTCCTAATTAGGACTTTGTCACTCCTAATAAGGTGTTTATTAGATTCCTAATAAGGTGAAAATAAATCCTAATTAGGACTAAGACACTCCTAATTATGAGTTATGAAAGCCTAAGTAGAAATAAAATCCAAATTAGGACTTTGTTACAATGTCCTTCCTTATAAAGCTTAATTAGCAGTAAGATAATTGTATTCAATATTTATGTGATTTGGCATCAGTACGTGCATATTTTACTTTTCAAAATGTACAATAATTTTCTTATTTATTATCCCATTTCAACTTCCTGAGATCAACATGCGTTAAATGGCAGAAACAAATAACACAGTGAAAAACTATTCGCGCTCCGTGACATTTGAATTTATGATACCAACTGTCAACATATGTTTATACACTACCGCAATAACCGCATGCATAAATCTTTTCCGAGTCGTACTATAAATGTAGCAATCCCGGTACGTGAGACAGACTTTAGACATACACGAGCGGCGACAAAAAATCTAGTCGGGCTGCAGTGCTTGACAACAGTTGTCACATACTAAAATACAGATTCTTTGTGAATTTTAAGCATATACGGTATACATTTTCTGATTCAATTTTAACGATTGAAACGGACACCCATCAACAAGCTCGATTAAAGGCACATTATGCTTCAAAAATCCATATTTTTTAATTCTTTAGAAATGTTAAGCATGTATATAATGATTTTAATTAATGGATAGATTTATTGTTCGAGGTTTTACCGCCGAAAAAAACAAGCATTTATGTGTCGTAAAGATAGCAAACTGTAAACAAATTAGAATTTGACTAAAGACGCATACAGATAGTTTATGTAAATAGTAAAATATGTGTATGTAGTACCATGTTTTTAAGCATTTACAGGATACCAGAAATAAACAGTTTATGTGAAATAAATATGATAGCATTTCTTAAGCATAATGGGCTTTTAACAGTGGAAGCGTGAAATCATCGATTCTGTTGCTCTTGGGTAATCGTAAATTTTCCGTGACTTCCGTCATATAAAGTTTCGGTAAAAGACCACGAAGACAACCGAACGGAAGTTGTATTGCCGTTTCCTACTCTTTAAAAGACAGCACGTGACGACAAGTATTTGCTGGAAGTTGCTGGAAGCCATTTTATTTTATTATATGTATATGTATCTAAATTACATCAGTCACGTTGTAGAACTACTTTTTATTCCATTGACGACTCATGAGTAAAAAGAAGTTCCGGTAAAGGCGGATGAATACTTTCATAACCATATGTAACATGTCAAATACATGTAAACATAATGTGTCTATTGTCTTCTAAAATGATAAAATGGGTGCATGAAAGAACAAATACGTTAAAAATTGAATAAATAAATGAACGAACTAAAGAACGAACGAACCAGCTGAAGAACGAACGAACAAATAAGAGCTGAGAGTAATATATGTGTGCGAATATTTAATTTACACATACTCTTGGGTTCTGTATCAGTACTTTTTTCAGCTTAAAGTCTTCAATCCTCATTAAACGATGCTTATGTATTAACTGCTTATTGTCAACATTGTATACAAAATAAAATGAACCAAACTAATTGTGTTATATTTCTCTTCCGCAAAAATAGTAGCCTAATTTGTTGTTGACATTACAGCAATATCCACATTACTGGGTTTGTTCATCATAGAACCTTTATAAACTATGGAAGCCCTGGAGGGACATTTTAAATTAATATTTAAAACTTCAAACTTATTATTTAAAATTTAATTCTTAATATTTAAAATTAAATTTTTAATATTTAATAAAAAAATTTCTTACCCTTTTTAAAAAAGGGGAGGGGGAAACCCATTCCGTGAAAAGATTGACAAACACAATTTTAGCCCCAGCGAGAAGGAAGTAAAGTAAATTGGACTTTATATACAAGAAAAACTGTTTTTAAATCACACTAGGACACGCACACGCACATAATTTCATGGTGAGGACTGACTGGGGCGGGTTTATTTATTTATTGCAAAAGACAATTCGTCCCATATTGAAGGGGTTAAAGGTCAAAATTGGACTGTGGGAATATAAAATAACTTGGTACATTTGTTCACCGTCATGACAAGTATTTTATTAGTCGAGCTTTGCTCTTTCCTGTGACAGCTCTTGTTTATACCTACATTGACTAGTACATTTTTGATGATGCAGTTCACAGAGTCTGCTATAAAATAAACATTACAATCAAGCAGGCTGGACATGCAGCCCTTTGGGGATTTAGGTACTGTAAATCTTAAATGAAAAGCCTTGATTTTAAGACGAGTGTTTTAGGGCTACCATCATCCACCTGGTATGATCATTGATTTGCATTGGCAATTTTCATTACAAGACTTATAGGTTGTAATAGTGTACTTTTAAATGACTGCAAATTGCAAAAGCATTGCCACAGGTTTGGTAAACAAAACTTTAGATGTAGATAAAGGGGAACTCCGTACATCTAGCAGATTATATTCTCGAAACATAAAGTTTGTGCTCAATGAAAGTAAAATGATAAATAATTACAAATTCAAAGAAAAATCTATGCTGAACGAAACCTCATTTTACCACAATTTATCAATTTAGAGGCGTTCTGAAATAAATTGCTTCAACCCATTTATTGTACAGCAACAACTCTACATAGATTATTTTTAAAGTACTGCAAACATATTTTAACAGCTGATTTTATCGGTAATGATTGGGAATGTAAAGCTTAAACTTTTAATTTAAGTTATCATATTTTCAAAGATTCTATTATTTATGTTTTGGAGGTTGTTAAGTTTGACATCAGTTATAGAAAATGTCCCTCTAGGTCAAAATTGTATGAAATTGGTTGTTAATAAAAGCTCTAATATATTTTAGGCAACTGCTGTGAAGGAAGGCAGAGGACAAAGCAGTGCATATAAAATGAAAATGGGATGGCAGAACTACCGAGATGGAAAGTACAGAGTTGATACTGAAGCAAAAGGTGGATAAGCACGCGCGATGTATTACACATTTGGGGAAAGTCTGACAGTAGAAAGAATAAGATGTCGAGCGCTAAATAACTATTTCCCGGCCAGTGAAAGTAACATGGACAGTGTGGAGGACTACGACTTCTCATTGGCTTAAGCATCAGGACAAGTGATTGACAGTTATACCGATGTAGACCAAAATTTATGCAGTTTCAAAGAGTATTTAGAGCTAACAGTTGGTATGCGTCACAGTGCCATATATACCTGAGATAAAAAAAGGAGAACAAAAGTTTTATGATAAATGGAGTCCCTGTAGAAAAGGGCGACAGAACTATTAAAATAAAGTACAGCAAAATTAAGCACTCATTATATTCTGAAGAACAATCTGAAGTATTTGCCAATCAATATTGCGGTGCTTTAATGCGTCTGGGTGTCCAGAGAAAGATTGTTCATGAAAGTGATCCGTTTTTAAGATGGGTATTGTGGTTTTTAGAACAGAAAGTACAGAACACAGTCTTCCTAGAAAGAGATGAAAACGTTTATAATTGTTCAGAAGCTTCATGGCAGCAACATTTTGTATTGAATGGGCCATATCAAATATTTAGTTTTTAAGTTGATGATAGTAATTGTTTGGTTCTTGGTAAAAATAATAATTACATTCATTTAAAAATGGTTGATAAACAGAAATTTATTTTGTAGTGGTTTTAATCGTTGTTTTGTTTTCATATGAAATTGCATACTACTGACATATATGCTGTAGCCCTGTGATAATTATAAACATACAAACTAATTGACAATTATAGATGATGTTATTACTATAATAATGTTTGCTTCTTAAACACTTTTATCAATGTAAAAGATTAGTTTGTTTTGTACCTGCCAAATGCTCAAAGCACATTTGTGGCATATGTTTATTTTTAGTGACAGTTCTTGTTCTATTTAGTTGAAAAATAATCATTTTGTTAAGCCTTCATTTCTCACCCACATGGCAAAACTTGCTATGTTTTTAACTTTTGAATGAATACCCTTTTATTTCTATGTTGTATGCTGTAGGTAGTTACCCCAAATTGTTACAATTGGAAACTGGACCTGAAGCGATTATTCATTGATGAGTGTAGATACCTAGCTTTGATTTTGTACTTTGATAAGTCACTGTAATAAAAGAGTAAAAGTTTTTACACTGACTTTGCTGCCTTATTTTTAAGTGGACTGTAATTATCCTTTTTAACAAACAACTATAACTTATCTATACGCCATCAGTAAGGGACACAAATATTATCATCCATACCTTTCTTGCTGTTATTTGTCTCAAAGTAGCATTGCATAACTGAATGGTTTACCTGCTGACTGCACTCTAAAATCAGTGAAAATGCTTAATGCTCAGGGAAAACATAAGGAACATTTTCCATTTGATGGAAACAGTTATTTTGCGTTACTTTGGTAACAGTAGCATAAGGGATGATACCAAAGATGTCAAAGTACTGTACTACTTTTTCTATCACGGAACCTGTGACCAGATATTAATTTCTTGTTTTACCTCTCTGGCGTGGGTTCGATCCCCGGGAGATGCTTTGGTAGTTTAGCGCGGAGGAAGGTAGTGTAGTACTGGTGTAACTCTCCAGGCACGATGGTTAGGAAACTACCCGCCTATATGACTGAAATACTGTTGGGAAAAGGCGTAAAATGATACAAACAAACAAAATAATTTCTTGTAACCAACTGTTTTTAAAAAATGTCGAAAATGATGGGGTTTCTCGTCATTGTTAATTTCAGCCATTTTAGCTAACAAGAGTTAGATTTATTTTTTACAATAAACGCAAAATAAACAAAATATAGATGGTTTAAAGCATGTCACAGACTTAGTGGATCAAACAGTAGTATACAAACGTCTGTTGGCCAGTTTATTTTAAAACAACATTTTAGATGCATAACTATTTGCATTGAAAACTGTTCAGAAACGAATAGATATCTGTGTTTAATTCAATAAAGAGAAAATCTGATATATCTTGATTCCTTTTTAGCTCAGCTTAAAGGTAAGCTACTGTAATTGCCCACTGTGTGTCGTCTGTCGGTGTGTTTCTCAACATTTCCCTTGTGAACACATTACAGGTCACATTTTGTATCCCATCTTCATCAACATTGTTCAAAATGTTTTTCTAATTGATTTTCTAGGTCAATTTCTTAATCTGGGTTATCTGGTGTCATAAACTAGGTCACTAGTTTAAATCAAGGGAAAACATAGAGAACACTTTAAATGCTGTATTTTCAACTTGAACAACTTAAAAGTTTATGAGAATATTTGTCTGGATAATCTTTATGTTGGGTTTGAATCTGGGTCATATGGGGTAAGAAATATGTCAAATCAAAGAAAAACATTTTGAACATTACATGTTTTTTTTTTTCAGTTCGAACAACTTGTAACTTTATCATAGGTCATATATGTAGGTCAAAGTTGAAACTTTGTCTTTTGGGGTTAAAAAGCGCTAAAATTTGATCCCTTCTGGAGAACATTTGGCAAATTTTTAGTACTGCCTACAAAAAGTTCATATGGTTTATTTTCTAATTTCCTACATACGGTTTTCTTAGATTTCTAGCAATGTTTATTCTAAGTCAGATTTGTCATGCAATCATCAATGTAGAATCAGAATGTTTCAAAAGAGGTCTCGTGTTTAAGTTCTTTAATTATTTTTTTCCGTTTGATTTATGACCTGTTCTAACAATAAGTAAAGCGAACTCACTAGCAGTTAATCATAAAACGCACATACTTCGGAAAACTATGAACATCAATGTTTATTCATTAAAAAGTGTATATATTATTGTCTAATGTTCATTCATGGGATTTGTTTCATATTCAATATCCTACAAATCAACATTAACACCATAATCAATAGAACCTGAAAGTTCTAGTACATTTAACAACATTTTATTTCTGGTCTTCCAATACAAGTGCGCATGTCTACATGTTTCTGTGGTCGCACATTGTGTAAATTCCAGTGAATACAATGCGAAAAAGTCCCGCTTGAAGAACATCCGCTAAATAAAATCGCAAGCATTTTGCATGAATCGTGTTTGACGTATTAATTCGTCCACGAGCTCTCAAATCCTTCAACGTATTCATCCACCTTGGTACCATAAGCCGTCCCCACTAAACTGCAATTCTTTTTCTACTTCTTTTGGAATATACATGGCACGGTGACGCCCGTAATAAATAATTAAAACGAAGTATCCTCTTTGACTGACGGAGACCAAGGCGTATGTTGTGGTAAAACAATTTGTGCGTACTTAAAGTCAGCATGAAAGTACTGCGTAATCACTTCTAACCTGGTGCTTCCGTTTCTAGATGGCAATAGGTATGACACATCTGTTGACACAGAGTCACTTTCAATAAAATGATAAAGGCAAACAGCAACGGGATCTCCATGTTTACGACCTTAAAAGAAATATAAATAAATGAAATATAGCGTTATAAAAAACAAAGGGCTGGGCTGTAAACATGTAATATTGTTACCATCACCAACAACTAAACATTATCGTTAGACAAACCTAACCCCTGACAAGCAGATATATTTCTGTCAGTTTAAAGCTTCAACCAGAACAAAATGTATTGAAAAACTTTCTCAACTTGCTGCTTTTGACACCATGTAGTCTATAAAATGTAAAGCGGCACCATGATAAAACTAATATATCTTAATGGTTTCAACTGTTAGCATAAAAATATAACAATCGAGATATAATATTTCTCGGAATGTTTATTGTATATAGCTGTAAGCAGCTATGTCGAATTTGCCAATTTTTCTTCGTGTAGCAACCTTTTGCAAGAGATCGTTGAATTCAAATACCCGCGTCTTATGTACTTAATTTTTAAGTATTAAGAATTAATTTTTAAAAATTAAGAATTAAATTTTAAATATTAAGAATTAAATAATAAGTTTTAAGTCTTAAAAATTAATTTCAAATGTCCCTCCAGGGCTTCCATAATAAACTTATATAAAATGGCGCAACAATTTTGATTCATGTGTATATTAACATTTTTATTTCATATTCACGGTGATTAACAATTTACAAATGTATATTATAACTATCTGCGTTTCTTGCTTTATAAATAATATCTTACACTTATCGTCACTTACCAAATCAGCCACCATAAGGACTTGCGTGAAACTCGTCCCGGGAATGTTGAAAGAGCTGGCCACATCAGTAAATCAGACTTTTTAACCACTACCGTATTAAGCATCTTAAAGTGACTTGACCATCTTTCATTCTGGATAAATTTATCATTTTTAGAGAAATTTTCAACGGGCATGCTTGTTGAACTTGACCTACACTGGTCGCATTGGTTTACACCAGCAGACTCATTATAAGGTCGTAATTCTATGAAGAAAAAAAAATAATTTAAGATCTTTTCTACAAGTTTGTTTGACTTAGCTGCATGCAAAGCTGTTTAAAGAAAATCAAACTTTGGAAAACTGAACGTATTTTTAAGAAAGAAAAACAATATAAATTTAAGATTCAAGTAATAATTGACATATTTTGTGCGCCTCATGACTGATTTTGCAGTATTTATCGCCATATTATTTTTCTACTGCGTTACTCGCGCAGTAAGGGCTATTTTTGTATATTTTGACCTCTTTTTGGTAGTTAACGCGGACTGTTAGTCATGTTTGCAATGTATATATTACTTTTTTTGTTTTGTTCACTTCACATTTTATTTTACTTTTAAATACGTTTTCAAAATAAACTTTCATGGGAACTAGCATGAATCTGGAGGCATGCTGCTTTAAATGCCACGTATTTTATGCAAGTTTCACAATGATCCGCCGCGAAGTAAACGTGATAATAGACTACATCGTTTAAAATGCGACAATGAAAAATGCAGGCCCATGTAAATTATCATACATTTATGAATCATATTTATCTCCTGTAATGTAAATTGGTGCGATATGTCATAACTTAAGGCCTCAACAGACGGTAGGATTTTGAAGTACAACACCAATTAAAACTAAGATGTACAGACAAATCTTAATGTGTGAGGGATACTTTTTCTTGAATTCGGAAACCTTAAGTCTAGATGTAAGGGATAGGACATATTCTATTTTGAAAATCTTGTCGTACAGATTTCTACAGACCTCCCACAATGACAAGTAACAGATTACCAAATTGTCTCCTGATAATGGGTGTTATGAATGAAATTTCAGAACAATTAGGGCAATTAGGGCTTTCGGGAGCCCCCAAATTTGTATGTTCCCCAATAAATGATTAATTTCTTAATTTGGGGGGGGGAGTGTTATCAGTATGCCGCATAGGGTTTTCCCACGGCCCCATTTTTGATCTCGGTCGGGCTTCACATTAAAAAAATTTTTAATTTGGAGGTTTCAATCATTACTATTGGCGAAGACAGTATTAGTGATAAGTATTAAAGTATCAATGAAACGGAATACCAGGTTAAAACTGAGATGTAAAAAATACCAGTCTAATAATTTGTATTGCATTTATGAATCTTATTTCTATTATGCTGTAAACTAAATTACGTGCGTTGAGGTCTTAGCTTTATAAAAGTCAAAATTCATCAACAATTTTTTGTAACCCCAAAACGACCCCCGCCCCCAAAATAATAAAATAAAATAAATAGATAAATGAGTAGTGGAGCGATAGTTAGAATATGATTTTAATGAGATTGCCTTTACAATAACAATTTTATAATGATTACTTAAATTTAAAAGATCAAAATTCATCAATTAAATAAATGTACATTAAACTTAAAGTAAATATATCAATATGGAAATATGTAACAAAAAAAAAACAATATTTTACTTATTTCAAGCGAAATTACTCCCCTGGGTGTCTTTTTCTCTCAATTACAGTTTGCTTAGGATAAGCCATACGTTCTCTATGGGTCTTTAATGATTTTTTTAATGTTCCAAGTCAACGATCTTAAAGGCACATTATGCTTCAGAAACGAATTTATGTTTACTTCTTTTGAAATCGCACAAATAAGTTTTAAATAATGGCTTTACTGCAATAGAGTATGTAAAATGCTTGACACCGAAGAAAGTAGGGCTAAATGTGAAATTTTGTGTCATAAAAGAAGCAAAATGCAAACAAAGTAGTATTTTGACTTTCATACAAAATACTAAATCAGTGTAATGATTACCGAAAAGCAACAGAAGAAAAAGATAGTTCAGATAATTGAGCTTTAAATTACTTTTGGAACAATAAAAGACCAAAAATGGCTTGAGAAATGAAAATCAGAACCTGCGCATCCGGCGCAAAGTCTATCAGAAATCCATACTATTGTTCTTTCACAAACCTATATGAGTTAGAAAAACACTAAGCGGCGACAGCATGGATCCGATCAGCCCTGCGCATGCACAGGCTGTATGGACCATGCTGTTCCCCTTTAAGTTTTTTTCTACTCTGCTTCATAGTTTTGAAAGCGAAAAAGCAATGGATCTGAAACGCGAAAAATAAATAACTGGTTTTCTGGGCCCAAAATTGGCCAAAAAATTAAATGTTCGTTTTCAAAATGAGACTCATGTTACATGTACATTGTAAATTCCTTAAAGAAAAGACAAGTGCACCAAAGCGTGTTAAAACTATACCGTCCCATCAAGTATGCGTAACACATTAAATTATTTTCATTTCACCTATGTTATTATTGTCATGAATTTTAATTAATAAAACACCAGTATTCAAACGGCACTGGTTTTCGGATAATGTGTGTTTTAAACTGGGAAATTCCCGTACGATTCTCTTTCCACATCATCTAACCAAATTAGGAACAAATCGATTTGTGAGAGAGAAATAAAGCATAAAACTCACTATTCTAGTGTTTTATTGAAAAAGAAAAAAGTAAATAAAAGGAAAAATGAAAGTGAATTTGTTACACGACTTATAATAGGAATGCGAGATAATATTTTGGAATGTGACTAAACATTTGTTTATCCTCTACGGACAGACAGTGATGATAGGGGTTATTTTTGGTGGATTTATTTGCATCTGTTATTTATTTAAAAAACCAAATACTAATACTATATAAAAAAAAGTGAAACAAACTGAAACTATGATTAAAGGAAAATACAGTTTGCTGTTGTTTGGCGTTTTTATACCGCTAGTTGTTGGATCTCATTTCTCGGAACTTATTAGGAAAAGTAAGTAGTATAGCTTTAAATATTATAGTTTTCACCCTGCATATATATTATACAGGAATTACAGAGTGTGTATGGGGGATACATATTAAATCAAAATATGCATTCAGGCCCGAGCTCTTGTTACGTTGCTGCTAGGGCATGATGTTTGATTTTTATACTTGAAGCACATTTTTTTATTACTGAAAATGCCAAGGACAGTCGGTCTATTATTTACACAATATTACACGAGAATCGTAAAAGTAAATGCCCTTGACTTGTATAATATTATAATTCGAGTTATGAAACAGCATTATGTAATCATCTATTTCCTCTACAGTATCCATCAAAACGCCTTCTCTTTTAAGGGAACGCATCCATTATAGAAGTCGGAGAAAATTTTCGGTTTCTTCCGCTATATTCCGTAACTTATATAATTTAAAAAGTGTTCATAAGAACCGGTTGTAACACCTGTGGTATTTTTGGTGTGTATTAATTGTTTGATCAGAATGTTCGCAGAGAATCGGCATAATTCGCTACCCTAAGTATTATTAAAAAATCAAATGAGCAGTTGACGTGACCCAGAACATAACAAAAATTCTGTATCATTTAAATGCTTATTAAAAGTGCCAGTTTATAAACGGAAATGTCCCAATCTCCATAAGTACTACATTTGTAAATTAGTGGATTGGTCTACAATGGTCAAATTTTCCTTAAGTATTTCAAATGTTGATAAAAACAATTGAAATGAATCATTTAGATATTCTTATAAATTATTACTTGAAAAAAAATATGTTGATAAAGTTCTGAGTGATTAAATATGGACATTTATATGAATAGTATAAATATTTTGCAACAAAACAATTTATTATCTGCTATATAGATACATGCAATATCAGATCATGTATCTAACACTTGCCAACAACAGTCAGATATAATTCTGTTGTGGTTTGTTGTTATGTTTGATCCTAAACATTATCAACGTAATTATTTATTGTATTAGAAACTCTCCATTATAGATCAATTCACTTTAATAGATTGCATGCATATAACTAAATTTACATTGCCACATATCATCTCGAGAGTAAAACGAACGCACACGCGCACGTAAATCTTTAACATATGAGTGCATGTCAAAAAGATTGTTATATATAGTGGTCAATTACAAGGTAAACGGGCTAAGCAAATTAACTACGACACACCATACATTAAAACAGATAGTAGGAATAAACCGAGAGAAACAAAATGTTACAGTCAAATCTGTTTACCATTATCGTATAATTATGGTTGACATTGGTATTTCTTACAAAAGGGGACAAAATTGAAAAGGAAAGTACATTTGATTGAAAGTAAAATAATGAATTACATAATTTGAAGAACTTGTACTCAATCTAGTTCTATTGTAACATTTTACTTAAAAGTATCAATATTTATCCTTCGTCCATTCTTACATTTAGTCGCTGTTTCTGATGTACCATGCGACCGTCCAATATTCATTCTGTATTGGACGCTGCGAGATCCAATAAATTGTTTATCTGTGAGTACTTATCGATAAAAGCCGTTAACGACAAAATAATCCGAATTATCTCTAAATGACACATTCGGAACTGCCTCGGCTATTATCTGTAATAACCTCATTGAAAGTAGTTCTGCCACGTGGTTTCAGATACGAATTTATATATTTGACATCTAATGTCTGCTCCGGTACTCTTATGCTTGAAAATATGTCTGACAACAATTTGTAATTTAAATATGCCCACTGATGTTCAATTTTAAACAAATCCGACTAAATGTCAAGGGGTTGGTTTTTTGTACTTTCGGTTTCTACAGCCTTAATAATAAATAATGTATTGTTTACTTTTGTACCTATGGATTCACTTATTTTAGGTAGACTTTTACTACATATATTGGAAATAAACTTGTCAACAACTCCCAACATTAAATTACTATTTGTTTACATGCTTAGTTTCTTAGCGTAGGTTAGACCGAAATACCGCATCCGTTCTGTGTATTCATACTATTGTGTTCGAGGTCCTTATCCGAAGACTGACGGAAAGGGCCGAGTAGTTGCTGTTTAGCGACAACTTAAAGGAAACGCGCGTTTTCAGCACAGCTGTCAATCTTATATTGGACGAAAAACCATCTTTTTTTGATATTTTGACAGAATATTGTTACTTCAAGTTCAATAAGGAATTGATATGATATTTTGAACATGAAAATTAAAAAGAGGCTACATGGAATACGATATGCATATGATAAAAGATATTTTGAACTCTGAAAATGAAAAATGAGGCAATATCTGGTACATAATGCATTTCATATGGATTTTTTGGACTCTGAAAACGGAAACGAGGCTAAACTGATGATATCGAATCTAATTTTGATTTATAGTTTAACATCACGTGATTCAAACGCTGAAAGTTCACTGGTTATGTAAGGTGTGAAATAAATACATGCATTTCTATTTAAGGCTCGATTGTGGAAACAGGATCTGTGAGCTTAGAATTTTTTCAATTTATAGTCAAGTAAACAGCTACAGTGTTGCACCAGAAATAGGACCCAAATACTATATTAAAATGTGTAGAGCTATTCTTTGCTTTCAGGAAGGTTTTTATTTCATTATTTTCTTAAGAGGCGTTACATTTTAAACTGACTGTTCTGCACAAGCGTTTAGAGTTATAAAGTCATAAAATTAATTTTGACAGATACGTATATAAAACATCGCATTCTAAATATATGAACGCAGCGTTTTAATAATCTTAAACTTTAAAATTCTTGCACGTACATTTTAGCAAACCTGAACAGGTGGGCAATCACCACGTTGACCAGGTTAATGTCCGCGTAGGAATTCAAATCGCTCAAAAACGTAAGGTTTTGCGTACGAGATATCTTTAGTAAAACAATTATGACTTTATTTGAATGTTCGTAATCATAAACTTTAAAGGGACTCCGCAGACGGTTTTTTTGACATGCCAAGATTTGAAATAGTTTTTTTCGAGACTTGTATAGCATTTGATGTAGGTCTGGACAAAACACTTGTGTGCAAATTTTCAGATAATTTTCTCATCCCATTTTTTACAAAATAGTAATTTTATTGTGCAAAATAATAAAAAGTGCAAAGCGTTCACTCAAATTTGGCTGAGAATCGCACAAAAAAATCGCTATTTATTTCAATTCTCAGTAAATTTTAATTAACACTTTGCAGATTAGTCAATTTTAAGTGATTCACTGATAGGATTTAAAAGTTTATATTTTTAGAACTTTTAGAACTCAGTAGAGCTCCTTTAAATTTTCTTATAGTTGTTTTATTTTGATACTTTTGTCCAGGATTGAAAGGAGATGTCAATTTTTCCACCATAAAATAGAGAAAAACAGAATCCATAAAGAAAGTCCAACACAACAAAATTGAAAATGTTGCAGGCTCGGTTTGATTGAGCCTGTTCATGGACGGTACTGGAAAGTGCAAGTTACCGTCCACGTCCACCGGCTTAAGCAGAATTCATCATTGAACACGAAAATGGTGAAATTTAGAATTTAGAAGTTTTCATACGGCGGTCATCATGGAACCTGCAATGTGGCACAGTAGTACCATTCCATGAAAAGCGGCGTATGTCATGTGCAAAATGTTTTGTTTAGGAGACACATAGTCCCCCGTATTAGTTTTAGGTGTTGATTTACGAATGAAAGGAATGGTTCTAATAAAATTCTATATTGTTTATACACTTATCTTGGCATTTAAAGTACGACTGACATATGAAAATTATTTCAGAATGTTGTTATGACTCATGTCAACATTATTATCATTCGGGACACCTCGTGACAAAAAAACAACATTAAGAAGTTTGACCTTGCAGGAACGTCCGTGGCCTAGTGATTAAGATCGTTGACTTCAAACTACTTACATCTCACCACTGTGGGTTCGAATCCCGACAAGGACCTTGGATTATTTCATGTGAGGGAGCTATCCAGCTAATCTTGCAGAATGTCAGTGGTTCTCCTCAGATGCTCGTTCATGCTTGAAATACTGCATGAAATGGCACCTGAGGTCTTCTTCCACCAGTAAAGCCTGAAAGACGCCATATTATGTTGGTGCGACGTAAACCCCAACTAAAATATATGTTTAGCCATGACTGGTTCACGTTGCTGACTTGCTCTATCAGGGCGTTCAAGGACATCACATTAGCTTTTGGAAGGGTTATTGCACTGGTCTCATTTGGGTGGTGTGATGCCTTGTGCCTTGCCTTCTCCATGGTGTGCACGTTCCGATTGGAAGAGAAAAGATAGCGGTAGAGAAAAGATATCTGAAATGGTGGTAGGAGTTGGAAGTTTTGACTGTAAGCCACATTGAATTTACCAGACCACAGTTCAGTCACCTGTTCTGGCTGACAAGCAGTTTACCAGTAGAACATGTAGTTGCCTTCACTTTCGCAAGGAACTGATAACTTATGTACATGCAAGAGCAGAGGTACAGTCCGAATGACCATATAGGAAGGATTTCATGATCAATCACATAGAAAGTGATTTGCACCGTTCGGGAATCGAACCCGGGTTGTCCTATTTGACAGTCCAACGCTAGATACCTATTGAACTAACCAGGCGACTTGCTATCTAAAATGATACGCCGGGTGTCTTTTAGAACCTGCACACCATAATGATGTCATAATTATGACCTTAATTAACCACGTCGGTTTGACTTAAAAATCAGCAGCTAAAAAACGAAAATTCATATTTGCCAAAAAAGAAAAGATTATGATTATAATAAATTATGATTACATGTATATAACTGTTTATAAAGTGACATTTATGCATGTTTATTGTTTTTAGTGACGTAAACTATACATGTATGCCGAGAATGTTCGTCTGCAACTTTTTCTGTAAAAAAAAACATATCCTGTTATATGAATTATGTTTAAATTTCATACATGATGATAAACCTTTCATCAACATAAAAACAAATGAATAATTCAAAAATTTCATGATACGAAATGTAAAATATGTATATAATTTTTGAACCGTCCCGTATAGCCCATTGAAAATTACATTTCTTCGTATAGTGCGAATTGGATACCTTTTTTAGACAGAAAAAAAAAACAATGCATAATTTAGAAAGTTTAATGAGCAAAACTGACATTTTATTGCAAACGTATGACATTTGAATTAATATGAAACAAAAAACACAATCTACTCTCTCATAAGGTGTCTTCGTGTAAAATATTAAGGTGATACATACATTATCGGACACCGGAGAGGTGGCCTAGTGATTAAGGCGTTTGCCGTTCACTGCAGGGATCGTGGGTTTGATCCCTTTTCGGGTAACGACCATGTTTTAGCAATGTGCCGCAAGTTCCGGAGAGCAGATCCTGAAGTGATTGATGTATGTTGCGGGAACTTGATACGCAGTCGAGCTTAAAGCGGGACTACTCCAGTGAAATATCAAATGCGAAACTATAATACAAATTATGACCAAACAGTAGTTGGTTTATCAACGCAAAATACCCCGGTACTAACAGAGTAAAATATATTTCTGCTAAACGTGATAGGTAATTTCCACATATAACAAGTGCGTTAGGCTATGTTCGAGTATATACTAACTTTTTAGCAGAATTTTGAATGTTCATAAAAGTTAACACAAACAACCCGATAAGGTGTTGCTTTAAATAAATTGTGATATTTCTGTTCTTCGTCACTTTCCGAAAGCTGTTAAGCTCTTTGACTAATAAGCGTTCATATGAGGTAGGAACAAGTGACAAGAGACCTCGGGTGTCCCTTCGTACATAATTCCAGTCACAGGCGGTCACTTGAGTAAAACCGTCAGCAGCTAAAAAGCTTCTTCACACGAAATAATCCAAAGTCTCGGACGGAATTCGAACTGAAAGCGGTAAGGGGTATTCAGTCAGCCTGGAAAGAATTACAAATTAGTAATCATATTTGTATACAACACAAATCAGATGATGCCCTAAAATATCTTTTATATAAGAAAGTTATTGTTTGTATGATTGGAAGCACAGTTTTTTTGGGCAACTGATCATTTGAAAATCTGAAATTGCTAAACAACTTGTATGAACAAGTATAATACATGTATGAACAAGTACAATATTAGTTTTTCAATCTGAATGCAACTCATCAACTCAGTAAGTCAATCAGGAGCCAACCTCTCAACCAAACCTCTTAGCAAGAAAACAACAAATCATCTAACTTATTTAAAAACCAACAAGCTCCAACCAATCTTATCAGCCAACAAACAACGAATAACCATCCGAGCGAACAAACAACCAACCAACCGGCAAAGCAACTGAAGATACGAAGAACGAAGAAACAAGCAATAAATCAAAACAATATGCAAAAGAAAAAATGAAACTAACGCATAAAACACCAAAATATGTTTACAAACCAAAAACAAAAAGATCAGCAATCGAGCTGCTTAACAATGCACTGTATTAGAAATTTACGTAAATTCGTATACGAAAATTTTACATGATTGTTTACATGAACTTTTAATCTTGTATTCATTCATGTTTCATTATAATAATTAGGCGTATCAATCATTTTGGCATGAAAATACAATCAATGATATGTGGATTGTTTTACACGGCAATCATTTATCAGCCCAGTATAAATTATGACATCCATGATTAAATTATCCCATCTTTTAAATAGTTTATTGTACCATGCAGTTATATACACATATACATCGAGTCAGTGACTGAAACTAAGTATACATAATTAATTAATTTAACAACAGGAAGAAAACTTGCCTATTGTTGTTTTTTTTGGGGGGGGGGCGGTTTACGCGTTTTTATGTTGGAGAAATGAATGTCTAATGGTGAACGAAATTTTGTTTTTAAATCCTATGTAATTTCTGCACTATGGTGGCGAATTTGGGTCATTTTAGCTTTTCGTCACAACACACACGCACACACAAATTTTGATAAAATTTGCGATAATTCTGCTCTGCTAAGATAAAATATCTTTAATAGCTTTACAATATATTGAGTCTACCAAAACTCTTTACCTTCTTCCAATACTCTAACAACCCACCACACACGCGCGCGCACACACACGCGTACACACGCACGCACGCACGCACAGACACACACATACAAAGACACACACACATACACCCCCCCCCCCCTCATAAAACTCCAACTCAACCCATGCCGCAAACGCTAGATACACATACATTATGTTTCTTTCACAAAGTTTTTATGCATCGATGTGAACAAAAAACAAGAAATAAAACTTGTCAGAAAACAAATCAGATACGAAAAAAAACATCATTTCTACTTAAACTCGGAAATTTCAGCCCAATTCTTTCAGCTGCGTTTAAATCTTTAATCCAGTTATTGATAATTCTAATGTTCTTTGTTTACAGCCATACCACTAAGCGTGAGCTGTGACCCCTGCACTGATGACCAGTTTCAGTGTAGAAATTGTCGATGTATCATGAAATCTTTCTTGTGTGACCATGTCAGCGATTGTCTGGATCACAGTGACGAGCCTAGCACTTGTGGTAAGTAATCGTGAGCATTCGGCATATTTCGTAAATTTTCGTGCATTTTCGTAAAACTTCGGCATATTTCGATCCTTTACATGAATTACCTAAGGTCACTATCAGTTTCTCTTTTTTTAAGGTGACAACGGAGTCAATTATCACTGAAAATACCTAAAATGAGATTTTTTGCTAAGTAGATTTATCAACCTTTTCTGAACACATTCGTGATTTAATTTTGGAAGCAGTTAGTCCAAAAAAATGTGTTTTTAAACGATTTAAAACGGTACCTATACTATTTGTATCTGCTATTCGCGTAACCTCCGCCCCCTGTTGAGGCATCAATGAGGGAAATCGGTAGTTCCATATACCCGTGAATTACAGGTCCATACTGGTCCATACTTCGCGTAATAGATGTATCGTTCATCTACCGTACATCTTTTATGAATATCTCAACATTTAGCCTTTTTTATAAATTAAGAAATTGTCGGCCAATGTACGTAACATAATGTATGAAACATAAATAATTAAGCATAGCGGCAAATCGCACGACCACGGGGTTGATTAAAAATGTAGTTGCTAAAATATCCATAATGTGTGAAAATAATTTGTCTATCCCGTTAATCTGATATATATAAAATTGAGTTGAAAGACTTTTGTACGGATTCAAGGGCTTACTTTACATTCAACCTCGTTTTCTAACAATGTCAAGTAAAACAACAACAGACGACATTTTTTATGTTTGTGGTAAGGTGTCCCTGACAAATTTCTAAACCATTTTAGATTGTCTAAGGATGATTATTTCTCTATGAATAAAAAAAGATATTAAAATATATTCTCAGTGAAAATAAATTGTTCGCCAGTAAATCCGACACAGTACTAATAAATCTGGGACAAAGTATGAAATTTATTGTCTATCCCGGTAGAAACTGGATCTCTATGCCGTGCATAGATGATATTCATGATAATAGAAGTCAAGAAGGCCACATCATAATGATCGAGTAATGCCTTTTATTTCTATTAAAATATGTGAAGCATTATCAATTTGGTGGAAAAAATATATACTATCCCGTTCTTATTTGTACATCTACCATGGACTTTAAAAGACTGTCAGAAGCTCAGTTTTTTGTTATTTTATTTGATATTTAACGGAATTTCATACACGAATACACAGGCAGAGTGACACTGGTATAATACAATAATAATGCTGATGATAATAATAATAAACTTCAAATAGGAAACAATTAAATACCCCGCTAGCGGTGCGCAAAAGCGTTCCATTTGCCCCACTGAGTGCCTCAAATTTTACCGATAGTCACGTGACATGTGCGACAGATACCAGACGAACAGTAAATCACGTTAAGAATTGAAGAAATTTCGGCAATAAACTGATATTAATCAGCAGCTTTTTAATTGGTCAGATGTCACTGGGTCATAAAATGTTGTTAGAGTATGTTACCGCCACTTGTGACCCTCTCTGGTGCGATATTTGTGTATTATGCAATTATTTAGCGTGAAACGTAGGGGTCCGAGAGAGAACAGCCGATTTATGACACTTCGTTTGATGCGGGTCGGACTAACTTTGAATCGGCATAACTTTTTTAATAATCAAGCAATTAACATGCGGTTTAAAGCACATGAAAGGAAATTCATTTACGGAGGGAACCGTGTCAGGGATTTCTGTTTGCTCAATCAGCGACTTTATTATCTTTAATTACGTAATATGTATGGTGAAAAAAGTCGCATATTTTGTTTGACGTTACGTAATATTTTTTTGAGAAAAGATATAAAAAATTTGAGACACAGTTCCCCAGATAATATAAGTATGGTTATTTTCCCAAAGTTTGATGACAAAAAAATAAAAAATGACTTTGATATGACGATTTAAAATTTTAGGATTTTTATTCAAAATCAATCATTTACAAAGGCATTTTTTTCAAATATGTTATTTTTTATGATGATCAACGACATTTAATGCACAAAGATTAAATGAATAACAATTATTACTAAAATAACTTGGTTTAAATTACATTTATGTGAGTACCACGGAAAGTGTCTGTTGTCACCTTAAATGAAATAATAGAAAATGAAATTGGAAGCCGATTTTGCATCTATTGGTCGACTGAATATTTTCAAAAAGCAGACTGGCGGTAAGAAACCATATTTTGAGCTATGCGGTTGATAGAATACATTATACATATGTTTCATAACTTATTTTATAAGGCAGTAAAGTATATACCATATAGATTCACCAACTGCCCTTAATGATTACCAAAAACTAAAAGAAATGCACATTCTCGATTAAATTGGCAAAAGAAAAACAACAGGAAATAATCCGCTACACGTATCGCCTATTAAATTTTCCGTCTTTTTTACTTTCCTAACATTAATCAACAGATGCAACGCTTTATAATGTTATTATTATTATTATTATTATTATTATTATTATTATTATTATTATTATTATTATTATTATTATTATTATTATTATTATTTTTATTATTATTATCATCATCATCATCATCATCACCACCACCACCACCATCATCATCAGCATCATCTTCTTCATCATTATTATTAAATTATTATTATTATTATTATTATTATTATTATTCGATACAGCGACCAAGAGTTGTAAAGGTGATGAGTTCAGGTGCAAAAACCAGCTGTGTATGCCGCAAGACTGGGTTTGTGACGGTTCTAATGACTGTACGGACAACTCTGATGAAACCCATTGTAGTGAGTAACTTCCCATTACATGGCTAATTTTATCCTTTGCTTGCATATCAGACTGGCGTTTCCGTGAGTCTTACCCATGCCGGAATTTTCATCTGGCATGGGGGGGTGCCAGATGAGTCGCGTGCTGTACAATGGCACGCTTAGGATGACGTCATTTTACCGTTATGAATGAAGTTGTAATTCATACGCTGTTGTAAGAAAGTAGTTACGATTGTAATGATAAATTTCCATTGAAATTAAAGATAAAGAATTTAATATATAATCGGATATGGTTGAATATGCAAGAAAAAATATCTGACATATGTTTGCGGTTCGGATTGGAATATCCGTCTCTCGGTCACCTATCCAATGGGCGGGTCACCTCGGGACGGATATTCCGTTCCGAACCGCAAAATATGACAGATATTATTATTCCAATTTATATATGACGCTATGAATAAGATACCCCCATTATTCAAATAAAAAATAAGAAATATAAATTTTTTATTACAATCATAATTAGATAATTGAGCACGATTATTGTACAAATGTATTAAATATTTATTCTTATTCATATTTCGGAAATTGGTACGAATATTGAAATCAATCACGGAGGGTTAACCCCTATTGGATCTCAAAATTGAGCACCGGTATAAAAATCTGGAGTCAAATCTCAATAAATGTTTCATTAAGGGTATGTTTGAATGTTAAGCATCGTTCGGCGGTAAGATTTCGTAAAAAAAATCTGCATTTTGAGTCCATTTAATTTTCTTCATACGTATTGCATACTTTGGACACACCAGAACCCACGACGGAAATAATATCTCGACAAAGACGGCATAAAAATCCAATACAAAAAATGGTTAGATATTGAGAAAAGTCAGGATGGTAGAATCACATTACGATTTTAAAAAAAAGCTTGGAATTTTGTAGAAATGTTTAAAATGTTGAAAACTTGCCCTGTGATTGACCTAAATTTTTTTCCACATATAGTGTTGTACTGCACATCTGGATCAGCGAAATTCACATATATTTTAATATTAACCTATCTCGATGCTCAATTTTGAGATCCATATGGGGTTCATCTCAGTATCAAGAACAACAGGTTTCTCATATTTGTGGTGCCGTTATATGTTGCACCTCCGCTTAATGTCGCACTTGCCGCTAAATGTCGCAAAATCTTCTTTCGTTAAATATAGCAATGGTAACATTAAATGTCGAACGATTTTTCCTAGGCGTTAAATGTTGCAACACTACTGTTTAATGTCGCAAGTTGATAATGAAATTAAGTAAGCTAGTGATATTTAATTAAATAAACATTAAGTAAATGTTTTTCTACATATAATATTATGATAACTATTGGACATAAAGGAATGTCCCGATTCATTTGCCGACTCAAGATGAAAATGTTTTTCTACAATCAATCTGACTAAAGTTCAGATCCACTTATTTCTTTTATGTAGATCTGATGACGACCGTATGTTTCGCCTTCTTCATAATTCGGATTTCCCGAGAAAACAATTTTTAGCCATGCAATCAAACCGGTTTTTACATAGGCATCAGAATAAGTATCAAAATACAAGTTAGATAAATTATCGATCTTTGTTAGAAGAAAAAATGCTGGTAAAATAGAGGCAATATTTAATGGGCACGATTTTTTTTGCCAGTTTACCTGTCGGCTATATGGACAACGCCACCTTTGTTCACGAAATCGTGAAAATTACCTACTCAGTATTGGTGTTTCCAGGGTTGAAATTAGAAATCAAATTGCTTTCAAAATTATGAAAGCTCGCCGATGATTGACTGTGTGAAACGTCACAAAAACGGACTTCGTATTTGGTCACGGTCAGATCTAAAAGCGGAGCGTTATTTAGAGCAGGCTAAATCTACAATACGGTACATTCAATGTGACACTTCTGTGCCATTCCATGAAAAGCGGCGTATGGTCCCCAAGTAATAAAAAGCGTGTGCCCTAAACGAGAAAACAATGCGCGGAACTAAATAAAATGGAATTTTGAAAGGGGATCAGAGGTTATGAAGCCTGCGTATCACAGATAAGACGTCAAAAGACAAATTTAAAAAGCAGGCAACATATCCTAAGGGTGATTCAACATTATTCAAGTAGGAATATTGGAACCACCCAACTAGAAGATGCCGAAAAGTTGAAACTAAAAATACCACAAGCACAACAATAATGTCGTGCTGAATGATCTTCAAGGATCGAAAATATGACACCGTTGATTAAATGTACGGGGAGACATTTTTCAGCCGCCACACGGCACAAATAACACGGATGTGATCATAAAATAGATAAATACAGATTAAAACACTTTATTTTATAAGAGGTTTTTGACCATGCGACCACATACATGCATCGAGGATATGTTATAAGGAAAGTGACCGTGCGACCATAAATACGCATCACATGATTCCCCTTCAATTTCAACCAATTACTTTGTGCACCACAGCAAATCATTTCCTTTCTGATAGATAGATATAGTTCTCCAGACAACGTTAATATTTTCATGATACCAGTTGTTGAACATAAAATAAGATATTGCGACATTTAACGGTAGTTTTGTGATATTTAACGGTAATGAAAACTTGTGCGCCATTTAATGTCATCATTGCGACATTAAATGACAAAATATTTTGGGACATTTAGCGGCAGTTGCGACAGATAACGGCACAACAATATTCAAATTTTGAAAGTTCGGTCATTTATCCGAATTTGGGTATCCGAATATTGGTATTCATAGAATGTTGTGTACAGACGATATTGACATGAAATGACATACACTCGCTTTCAACATTCCTGGTACCTTTCATATTATTTTCTAGTAGTTTTTCCGTATCTCTGCATGACCGTGGCAAATAGAAACGAAATGATATTCATCTTCAATATCTGAAGTACAAGTATTACCATTCATATCAAGCCGTCCTTTATACAGAGTACTGCACTTGCAATGTAAGCCTGAATTAAAACGTACTTTTTGTAATGCATAGAATATTTTCAAGCAAAACTGATATAAGTGAAAAGCTGATGTTGTTACGGTGTAATTTTTTTTTTACATTTTAATGTATTCTTACGCACATACATACTTTCAAATTTTATTCTTCTAATTTATTTTAGCTGCAAATCCGCGGACTTGTAACGACACAGAATACATGTGCCCCGAGAACAACCAATGTCTGTCGCTATCCAAATTGTGTGGTGGTTATCTGACATGTGGTACCCAGGGAAAACCAGCTGTGTGCACCGAATATTTGAGTAAGTAATATCAGTACCAAAGGGAAAAAAAGAAGGGAAAAAAACCTATTAAACCGATAAAAGTCGGGTTTGATCCGGGTCTTGTTAGTTCTCTATTACAGAAAAAAAATGTTACCGGTGTAAACGAGGAAATAACATAGCATATCGGTACATATTTCCTGTGCAGTTTATTCAGCTATTTCTTGGAACTTACTGCTGCCGTATAAGGTAGTTGGGGGAAATCAAAGTACATAAACCGGAAGTCACTGTGTAAACAACAACCTACGGCCGATAAAAATGCTGAATCTCTGGAAAGGGACATGTTGATTTTACAGTACAGCCTTCTGAGCAAATTCAATCAAATTTTAGAATTTAACAACTTTGTTGGGGGATCTAGACCCTATTTTCCGTATGATACACTTCCGGGTCAGTACTAATCTACGGGAGCTGTTTAGGTCCATTTCATTTTATATTTTGCCAATGATACTGAAAAATTTTGTACGATGTTTTATTAATTTTTTTTTAATGACGAGGCAAAAGGAGAAATTCCGATAGGCTTTATTTGTGTCGTTTTCAACACAACAAATTTCTCATTTGTCACGTTTTCGTCTCTTTGAAGCGCGATACGATATTGTTTTCAACATTTAACTGCATATAAATAAAAACAATGTCTTTCTATCTTTAATATTGATGTTGTTATAAAGAACGTCAATTTGAGAATATATGTATATGTATATACTGTTTTATACAAACTTTAAGGTAGAATTTTCTTTAAAAGAGATTATCTCGGTATATAGTTCGTTTTTAACTTTCAATAATTAAGCTTGTTCAAATTTTAACAAAGACAAGCACAATCATACACTTTATTAATTTATTCATTTGATTTTTATTCTATTTTTTGTATAAACATCCCATTTTTATTGTAATAAATTTTCTAAACTGCAAACCACGTATGTTTTCCTCTGATGCAAAACAATAAATAAGTGCGGTTACTGAAAATGTAATGTTATCAAACTTAGGTACAGTTGAAGTTTGCAAAATCATCATTGTTATTCTACAAACAAAATTATATATGTTAATATATTTTGACATGACATCCGATTGCGATTTGAAGTTCGCTCTGTGCACTGTGTACGCTTCCTCGAAAACCTTGAAACCTTATGCCCTTCTGTTAATTTATAAATCTTATTAAAAAAAGATGAATCAATAAACTTTGCACTAGGCATGGTAAATATATTATTTTGAACAATGCCATATTAGTTGTAATTTTAGTCACGTACAATATGGCAATTTTCCAGCTTAGAATTAAAAAGAGACCTAAATGCCCTTTTCTGGCACGAACAAGCAAATGCATAGACCCATTAACAGTAGGTAATCCAATGGCTCTGGTAGGGTTTGGACCAAAACTGATAAAGGTGAAAGCGAAATTGAATCCAGCAACCTTAACCACTCAACCGTTTTGTTTGTTTGTTTGATTTGGTTTTACGTCACACCGACACAGTATAGTTCATATGGCGACGTTCCAGCTTTACTGGTGGAGGAAGACCTCAGGTGCCCTTCAGTGCATAATTTCAGGCACGAACGGGCACCTGAGTAGAACCACCGACGTTCCGTAAGCTAGCTGGATAGCTTCCTCAGATGAAAAGATCCAAAGTCCCTGTCGGGATTCGAACCCAAAGCGATGAGGGGCAAGTGGACCTTAACCACTAGGCCACTCAACCGTAAAACACTTCCTCCTCTCGTGCTAGACTGAGCTTCAGCCGACAAAAACTCATGTCCATTGACCAAATTCCAAACACGAAATGTAGAAGTAGTACATAATGTTACAAACTTCATTTCCACATAATGTGCATGGATACACCTCCTTAAGTAATAATTATGTTAAGAAATGCGTCATAGCTCCTTTAAAATCAAAACAAAACAAAACATGAAATAATAGTTTAAAATGTCATTCAAAATATGTTAATTAGCCATTTCGCAATATATTTGCATGTAATTTGTACTCTTTACTTATCAATATATGTATTCTACTTAATATGGCTAATGATTTACACCTTTTACCGGCTATATTTGTGTAATGATTTTGTGTTGCTTTGAATTAAGATCAATAGGAAAAATAGTATTAAAAGTAGAAGAAAACGAGCAGCTAAAACAGCATAAAGCACGGTTTGTGCAGATTAGTTGGCCCTTGTCTATAATGGTGACAACGACTAATTAAAGTTAAGAGCTACAATTTAATAGTATATATGGTCAAATAAGTACACCGTACAGTATGGTGGCTTGAAAGTGCCATCAACATAGATTTTCTCGTGCTGCGGAACTGACTTTGTGTTTTTTTTTCATTTTCAATGTAAAACCACAAAAGGCAAAACAGTTTTATGCAACAACAAAAAAAATGAAATAAAATAAAACACACGTCGTAGTTATGCTAAATGTCATGGTTTTGCTTTAAAGATATATTTCGAATTTGACCTTTAGCCTTTTTGTCTAACAATTTATGAGAAATAAGACGTCATTTTATAGATATGAGAATGATACCGTCACAGGTAATAAAAATTTAATGCGACTTTTAAAAAATTAGTATAGAAACAAAGATAAGCTTGGTCCAAATAAAAAGAAATTATTACGATTTAAAACTTTGTGGAAATATGTTTTCATTTAATGTTTGTACCATGCGAATCAAGTGAAAATTAGCACCAAATATGTATCGATTACATATATACATGTACTTCGAAACATCAAACAAACATAAAAAAATCAAACTTGGAAATAGAAAATGGAACATTTTAATTCATAAAATACTTTAATTCTGGCATCATCTTAAGTGTTTATTTTCTTTGAACAAATGTCTTTGCATATTGTTTTTTTTTCCACCAGGCGTTCGCATGCACATTTTTAATTTACAATGTGTTATAAAGCAATCAGTTTTCGCGAGCAAAAAAATAAACACGCTCACAAAATCGTCATATTCTTGCAACGACTGTCGAATTTGCAATCATTTGAAAAGGAGATTCAGATCTTCAAGCATAGAATCGTAGGCCGACAGAGGTCTTTCAACCTAATGATATGTAATGTATTAGTGTGTGACAAAAAAGCGCGCGTCAAAGCACGCGAGGGAAGGAACGTATTTCATTCGTAAAGTTTGCTTTGCAATTGAAAACAATAAAAAAATATATAAAAATAATAAAAGAAAACGGAAAAAGTGACCAAGCATAGGTGTCCCATGCAAACTTATCTAACTTTTCGAAATAAATAATATCTTTGATATATTTTCAACTAAATGAATTTTGTGCATGATAATGCCATGAACTGTATATATGTAAATTGTTTAAACTGGGACAGGACACTCATAAGCTTTCATAGCTTTCTGCCCAATCTCAAATGTATTGTGTAAATATTGTACATCATAATGTAAATATATCGAATAAAATATGTTTAAACCAAATAATATTTTGGTAGGAAAAGTCACGTGACACGCACCTGCTGAAAAACGTGTGTTCTTGTTAGAACTCGTATTATTTAAATTCTGTCGAATTCGCACGAATACACGTTTTTTAAGTTGACATAGAAGTATTCAGAATTCCTCCTTGATCTCGAACACATGTCATACTGCATTTTGCATATATATATAGGGTTTCAATATTTATATGGAATCTATAGAAGCCAAAACATGCCACCTCTACAATAATGTTGTTTTTAGGGTCGTTGAAAGGATAGATTTGCAGGAAAGAAATCGATTTGAGTGTTATAAAAATATATTGCTGCAACCTATGATGTACCTGTTGTACCTTAATTTGAATGAATGAATGAATGAATGAATGAATGAATGAATGAATGAATGAATGAATGAATGAATGAACGAACAACGAACGGACGAACAAACGAACAGACAAACAAACGAACGAAAGAACGAATGTCAATTTATTTTTAGTTCTATTTTAATTATTGGGCAACAACTACATGTATTTTGTTTTGTAAAAAGAAATAACTAAAATATAAATGATACCTTTTAAAATTTAAACTTGATTATTACAGGTAATTTTACACAATGTAAAAACGGACACTGTTTGAGAGGACCAGAGTATGTGTGTTCACTACATGGTAACTACAAGCATGGCGTGGAAGTTGTGTGTATATGTAGGCAAGGTTACATGGTCGACGAAAAAGACACCAGTCAATGTGTTGGTATGTATATTAAATTCAATAAACAGTGTAAAATAATTTATAACGTGTGTTGGGGTTAATATAGAAAACCATAGACCATTTTACAAGAAGACATGTTTTGTTTGTTTTGATTTGTTTTGTTTTCGAATTCTCTTTATTTGTATAAAACATGGGACAGAAACACGCATTTGAATTGTTTGACGCAAATCCTGTAGCGTCATTATGCCATCTTTTTAAAATTATAATCTTATATATACATTACATGTATATATAAATATTCTCTCATCTGACATGTCTGATTATATTACCCTAGACTACGATGAGTGTGAGAAGTTTGGAAGTTGTGATCAGAAGTGTGTCAATTTACCGGGAAGTTACCGCTGTCAATGTGTTGGGGGCTACATGATAGAAGGCAAGGGAACTTGCAGGAATGTTCATGGTAAGCAGATTGTTTTTCATAACATTTATTTAAAAAAGTAAAGTTTACGAAAGAATCTTACGTATATATCAGTTACGTTCTTGTCATTTCTGATTTTTAATATGCGCATGCGCTGAATAGTAAAAAACAACAACACCGGGAAAGTAGTATTGAACACATAACAGCACTTAGCTTTGCCGCAGATAGTCATTCAAAAGTAACGCTAATGCATTTTATTACGACAACAACAACAACAACAATAACAACAGCATACAGCAGAACTAAAAAGAAAACATACATACATTTTAAACCTTTGTATAGTATAAAGTAACAAACTATTGTGAGGAACCTTATACAAACATGTTGTAACGAGTATTAATAATATCTGATGTGTTACAATTATCTCAACAGGAGTCGAAGCAAAGTTGTATGTCGGGACGGAACATAACATCACGCGCATGCGCATGAATGGAACGGAACCGGAACTTGTTGTCACCGGGAGCGTTCGAGATTTTGATATAGACTATATATCTCAGAACGTCTTTTTTATCGACACTGCTGACAGAAAGGTAAGATGTTTTAACATGTGTTAAAATTTAAAATAAAAATCTTAAATATTAAATTACTTGGTTATTTAATAAACTCTAACTTCATTTCTTAGAATATTTCAAATATTTGAAATGTAGATCTAAAGCAACAAGTACAAAAGTATGTAGATCTACTGAATCACTTTTATGATAATGATGTTTTGTTTGTTTTGTGCACACAAACAATCTGCCCTTTACCTTTTGCCATCTGACGTCACGGTATATGAATCTACGCATGCGGCGATTGTTGTTCGATTTTTTGTCGCACATTTGGTCGCAGTTGAGTCAGTGCTTATTTTAAAACTTTCCTTTAATTTGTGAATAGTTTTGTCCAGATTGCAAGCTGCACATTTTCATGTAGGATATTAAACTTGTTAAAGGTTAAAGTGGGGATATTGTTGGCTATTTTTTTAGGTTTACACAGCATCGATCGGGCGTCCTGATAAGACATCACTGCCGTTACAAAGCATGCCAAAACCTTGCAGTTTGTCTTACGACTGGATAGGCGGAAACTTATACATTGTCGACTGCCTTGCCAAACGTATAGCTGTCTACAACGTTAAGAGCAGACGACAAAAGAATATCATTAACGACGGTATTCAAAATTGCCGGGCAGTTGCAGTGGATCCGACAACAGGGTAGGTAACTCTTACTATACAATAATTTTGAATAGCGATCCTTTTGACGAGTTTTCTTTATAAAATATCCCAAACGGTGTGAAAACTCTGCCTTAATCATTCATTATACTTATTCAAAAATATACATGTATATGTCAAATATGTCAAACTATGTTGTTTCTTTCCAGGTATATGTTCTACACGGATTATGGACGGAAGCCACGGCTTTTACCCCGTATTGTTCGCGCTTTTATGGACGGAAGCGCTATTCTGGATCTAAAATTAGGAAAAATTTTAGCACCCAGTAGCATAAGTTTAGATATAGCAGCCAGGTTGGTGTAATTAAATATTCGAAAAATAGAAACCATTTCAATAAAGCTTAATAGTAAAGGTACGTGTATCCAGAATTAAATTATTCCCCCACAAAAGATTAAAAAATGTTAAAAAGACTTTAGCTAAACGTATGTTTGTTGTAAACATTCCTTCTATGAAGATACTGCTTATATTCAGACCGTCATATTCACGAAGTCATTCACTGGTTTTTTTTTAATAAAAAAAAAACAGAAAAACTTTTTCCCAATTGAAAATAAAGATACATTTGAAAGAACAGATCTAATTCTAATTTTACAATGTTAATTTATAATTGTGCTTTGTCAACAGATAATACACTGAACTTTCTATTAGAAGAAATATGAAATAAGAATATTATCTTCCTTTTTGCTATATTTTAACTATATTTACAGACGAATCTACTGGACAGATTCCAAGTTGGACGTCATCGAAACTGCTACATATGACGGCTTGCATAGGTAATTTTGTTCATCATAGGTCAATATAATTATGACAATTAATTATATAAAACACATACAGAATATGGCAATTATAATGATAATGGTTTCAGTCAAAAGCATTTAAAATAAGTTTATTAGCAAATGAGTGTATCAGCATTTTGTAAACAAAATGAAAAATTTATATTTCACATTATATTATACAAAAAGATAATCTGTAAAGAATGATTCTAACAGAACAAGAATCATCTCTGGAAGTCGAAATATACCTGCGCCTGTTAGTCTCGCGGTGTTCGAGAACGAGATCTATTTTGCTGACGTCACAAAGATGGCGGTGCTTAAAATTGGAAAATTTGACAAAACTAATCACATGACTCAAATATGGCGGACTAAAGCAATACTTTCATCTGTGAAAATTGAACACAAGGTTTTGAGAATTACTGACAAAGGTACGACATGTCAATGGCTACTGTTTTGCTGTTGTTGTGTTCTTCTTTGCGTATTTATGATCATTATCATGTTAATCTTATTAATACGCAAGGTTTTCCACAGAATCTAAGTGAATTTTGGATTTTTAAAGAATTTTAATTATGTAATAAAGACACATATATATGAAATAACTTCTGCTGTGTATAGAATATATGACAAATATACATTTTATTACACTAAAAATGTAGTTATACGCGATATATTTAATTACATTTATGACAATCTCATGATTATTACAATTTATTAAAATAATGTTATATTCATACGCACTGCATTTTATTAAATAATGATGTATTCACACGCATTGCATTTTATTTTAATGATGATTTATTCATACACATTGCATTTTATTATAATGATGATGTATTCAAACGCATTTCATTTTATTATAATGATAATGTATTCATACACATTGCATTTTATTAAAATGATGATGTATTCATACGCATTGCATTTTATGATTTAATGATGTATTCATGCGCATTTCATTTTATTATAATGATGATGTATTCATACGCATTTCGTATTATTATAATAATGATGTATTCATACACATTGCATTTAATTACAATATTTATGTATTCATAGCATTAATTATTATCATGATAATGATATATCCATACGCATTATCATATTTTTTCTTTAGCTGCAGATCCCTGTTTAATCAGCAAGTGTGAACATCTGTGCGTTCTCACCCACGTGTTTGACAACGATGGTCTCGGGTACAGGTGCGTGTGTGAGGCAGGGTACCAGCTGAATGAGGATGGGTTCTCTTGTCGGAGTAAGTGGTAAAAAACTGCGAATAAAAGTAACCAGACTACTCACAGTTTTGCTGAGCAATATGCAACAAATTAAATATAGTTTTCACGTCAAATATTTTTAAACAAATCTTGTGAAATATATTTGCCATTGCAACAGTAATCTGTAAACTAATATGATGTCATACAGCATATTCGAATTTAATTGGTCAAGGTAACCTTCATGTACCCCATGGTGCGTTATTTCAGGTAGGAGGGCGGTACCTTGGTAGACACACCAAGCTTCCGCTAGCGTGCTAGACTTTATAAAAAAACACGCACATACAGTAATCCTTACTAGGGTTTGAACTTGAGCCCTACATTACAGTTATGGAAAAGCAATTTTCAATATACTAACAAACTTTCATATCGGACAAATAAAGGATACTTGGAATTTAAAATACTTGAAGGCCAAAAAAAAAAGAGTAAAAATCTCTATTTTCAGGTATTGAAGAATTTATCATATTCGCAACCAAACATTCAGTGCGAGCGATACCATTGGACGGCGCAAGGACACGGTCTGTTGACGCCATGAAACCGGTTGTTGGGCTGACTAAAACCCGTCGGGGTAACAGTTTTGTTGCCGTTGATTACGACGCGACCAGAAAGGAGCTTTACTACTCGGACATCTATAACAGGGCTATATTTAAATCACCAATTGATACAGCAGGTATCCACTCTCCTCAAGATAAAAAGGATATTGAATGAGTTAAAAAAAGAAAGATTTTTGACAATTCAAAACAGATGATAGTCTAATTTTGTGCGCATCATTTACGTTCCTTCATTTTTTTTCTAGAAGAATTGTAATATTTATATTTTAATCATCGCGCGCATTGTATGGTACATCATTTCTCTTTGTATTTTGACTTGTAAAACTTTTGAATGTCAGTTAATAAACATATATTCAATTTTAGAGGTCAGCCATGTTCTAGCAAACGACATCCGGTCTGTTGAAGGAATCAGTCTGGACTGGATCTCTCGTAATCTATATTTCACGGACTTTTTCGCGAAGACTGTGTCAGTCATGCGTCTGGATGAACCAGATCAGAGACGAGTATTGTTGACTGGTTTAGGCAGCCCACGTTCGGTTGTCGTACATCCGGCACGAGGGTAAGAAACGCTGTACTGAATGTCTTACGTGTTATATGCATATTTAAGGCCAATTCGATAAAAGTATCATCTTTTCTTTTTTGCTCATTTTCTTAATCAATGCCACGAGTTGGAAGACTTATGGCGTGTTTTTGTGTTGAAACAGTCGTGTTGTCGTGCTGGCGGTACGAAATGTCTAGATAACGAGACTATGACAAGTTACCTTTTGTCGTGTTCCCATGTGTTTTGTCTTTCGCCATTTCCTCCCGAAAGCACACTTTTACGACATGGCATAATTCAGACATCCTTATATTGTGTTACATCGATCCTTGAAGATTAACATTTTAAAAACATCTTCTAATCATTGTTTTGTCAGATATGTGTTTTTCGCTGACTGGTTGAAAGATGGCAACAATTTCCCGTTTATTGGCCGTTGCCATGGAGATGGTAGCAACATGACGAAAATTCACAGGTACGAGCTCGGCTGGCCCAATGGTATGTGCGTGGACTATGACCAGGACAGGGTGTATTGGGTCGACGCTTATTTTGACAGGTCAGTTTCAGTTTTCATATTGAGATTTGTACTTAATCTCTTCATGATAGTAGTTATATCTTCAGACTTTCTGATCATTTTTGTAAATATTTTTGCCTCCCCTAAACGTTATGTATCGTAAACATGACACTATTTACGTTTGAATCAAACCTGGCAATTTCTACATTAAACCATGGTGGTGGTGGTATGGGTAGTTTTCACTCCGGATCACGACAGTAAGCCATATTGAATCTACCAGAACACAGTTCAGCCACCGCATCATTCATTGAGCAGGCTGTTGAGCAGTTTACCAGTACTAGTTGCATTCACTTTCGTAAGGAACTGATCGAAACTGCTGTACATGCCAGAGCATAGGTACAGTGCGAATGACCGTATAAAGGATTTCATGATTATTCACAACGAAAGTGATCTTCGACGTCCGTGAATCGAACTCGGGTCGCCCGATTCACAGTCTAACGCTCTACCTATTGAGCTAACCAGACAACGCATCAAAACATCTCATCTTCAATCACTTTTATACAATGACCATATTTCAAAACCACATTCCCAAATAAACAACTTTAACCAATCGTAAAGCATCGGCACTTCCCGTATACTTCGGGTAAGAGGCTTCGAACGTATAGAACACAAATATTCCTACGCAATAAGCTCGGTTCATAAGGCAGTGTTCTTTCGCGAGAAAGTAAACACAATGTCTACAACTTCTGTAAACTGTGTCTATGCCATATTTAGAAAGACAATTTCAAATGTAAAATATCACTGTAATGCTTTATACCGTTATATAAAAGAAGCATATACATTTTCATATATTATGCCATAGAGGTTGCATATGGAGGGCACCATTTTACCATGTGACTGACAGTAGTTTCACTATACCGCCTTATTATATCAGCTGTTTATTGCAAAGCATAATAATCGGAAAGATGAGATTGCAACTTCATCCTAATCTCTTTGTTCGAAAACGTTCGTTTGCAAACCGGGCCATGTCATTCCTACGACCGTGTAACTACAGTTAATTATTGTTAATTATAAACACATGTATCTCCCCTTGTTGTAGGCTTCAGCATACAGATTTAGATGGCAACGACTTACAGACAGCCCAAGGAATAAAGATCGTGCACCCTTTCGGTGTGGCAGTCTTTAGAGGTAGAAATTTATTTACTTAAAGGCACATAAAGCCCATAAATTGTTAAAAACGAATTTAGAGCATGTTAAATGTTAAAGCAACCAAAGAAAGTAGCACAGAACGTTAAGTTATGTGTCGTTAAGGTAGTAAAATGTAAACAAATTCATACAAAATGCTAAACCCACTTTAACTAATTGCTAAAGTGCTTAAGAAGCAGAAAAAACCAGAAAAGTCCATATATGTGGCCAATGAGTAACTTTTTGGAAACACCAAACAATAAACGCTTTTGAGACTATTATAATGATAGCATTTCGGCTCATTTCGGCAGCTTAATTATCCTTTAAACAAAATAAATTACTTGACTGTTTGCTCATTTAGACAGTACAAATACTTTTCCAAGAAGGTCATTTATAACTATCCGAACAAATGTTTATTTGGACCTTTTTTCAGGGTATATATACTTGACTGACTGGAAACTTCAGTCAATAACTCGAGTAACAATGAATGGTGATGCAGAAACTGTCCTTCTACAAGGGGTCGAGTTGTTACGCAGCCTGAGGATATTTTCTAAAGATCTGCAGAAAGTTCCCGGTATGTAAAGTTAATTTTTTTATGATACGACGTTTGCACACAAACTTTTTTTAACAGGGGCAATAAAAAATCTTTCACTGTAGTTGAGCGATATCTTATTTAGGGCAAATAAATAAATGTATACCAAAACATGTGAATATATGTTAGACGTTTATTTTAAATCATCACAAAAACTCATTTAAGGTAACATAATCTAACCAGCTTGAAAGAAAAACGAAGAATCATTCATCATAAATAATTTTGTTACCTAAACAAATTAACATGTTAATAAAAGGCGCTCTGTTTAGATTGCCCTGGGTTACATTTATTCACGTGAGTCATCTTTTAAAACGCCTAGATAACGATATCCTGTTACCAGACAAAGTAACTAATGTTTACTTAAAAATAAAGCAGCATGTCTCCTGACTCATGGTTATTTTCATTAAAATTTCAAAAAAGTATTTAAAAGTGAAATATTATGAAGTGAACTAAGAAAGAAATTTATACACCGCAAACTGCACAAACAATTCCCCGTAAATCACCAGAAAGAGGTAAAAATATACAAAAATAGACCTTACTAGGTTAGTTACATATATGCACTAGAAATATGGGGATAAATACTGTAATATCAGTTATTAAACATGTGAATTCTTGAATTATTAAAATCTTAGTATACATTTTTCTCATTTTTAATTTTCTTGAAATATTTTGGCTCATTTGGAGGCATGCAGCTTTAAATTACGTTAAAAAAACTAAGCAGACGACACATTTGAGCAGACGACAATTTCCCCAGCATGCAAAGCGTTTTACGCATCGTTACAACAGCAAAAGTTAGGGCCACATGACCCGCTGCTCCATGTACAGGAAAAGTACCGGTACATCATCAGTCCCGGTTTACCCTCGTCTTTGTAAACATCCGGGTGGAGAAGTTTGGAAGGCGGATATACATGTAGTTCATCGAAGCAATGGTATCTGTTGATAAATGATGTGAAATAATTATATTAAATTATGTGATATTAGTATGAACTTTATATTTCTTTAATACCTTCAATGTTTCAGTCTAAATATTGGTTGTTGAATTCTAAGCGGTGACATCTTCATATAATGCCCTGCACTAAATATTTTTTTTTTAATCTTCACATAATGCCCCGAACTGAATATTTTATAAAATCTTCACATAATGCCCTGCACTGAATGTTAAATAAAATCTTCACATAATGCCCCGAACTGAATATTATATGAAATATTCACAAAATGCACCGCACTGAATATTTTATAAAATCTTGAATATTTTGTAAAATCTTCACATAATGCCCCGCACTGAATAGTTTATAAAATCTTCACATAATGCCCCCGTACTGAATATCTTATAAAATCTTCACATAATGCTCCACACTGAATATTTTATAAAATCTTCACAAAATGCCCCGCACTAAATATTTTATAAAATTTTCACATAATGCCCCGCATTGAATATTTTATAAAATCTTCACATAATGCCCCGCATTGAATATTTTATAAAATCTTCACATAATGTCCCGCACTGAATATTTTATATAAGATCTTCATATAATGCCCCGCGCTGAATATTTATAAGATCTTCACACAATGCCCTGCTCTGAATATTTTATAAAATCTTCACATAATGCCGGCACTGAATATTTTATAAAATCTTCACATAATCTCAGACAGAATTCGCCCTCATAATGTAACCATGGCAACCGTAACTGCGAATTTAAAAAATTAAATAAAAAGGGAACATTTAAGAAAAAATAAAATGACTCATACCCAGCGTTTGCACAGATCTGCGAGCAGTCCGGTGCTGTTCCAGTGTTGCAATTCCGTCGGATTGCAAGCACGTGTGATGCAGAATTCACTGCAGCTGTGCACGTGCTTTGCGCGAGCTCGTCAAAGAAATTGTAAACCATTCCATAAGTATTGTTAGTGTTCTGTGCGGTGTTTAAACAACCTGTGAAATAAAACCACTTTCATTTTACTATAAATTAGGCCATACAAAATTAAAAATTAGTCAGTATCTTACGTTAAATATATGGTCACTTATTATTATTTTTTTTTGTACATCTAGCCTTGGTTAAACTGGTCGCAACAGTTTCGTAACATATTTTTCTTACCGTAAAGTTCCACGGCATTGCATGGTCTTTTGTCCGTTTCCGTGGTGTCGCCCGTGCACTGCAGTCCCTGTGACCCCTGTGTATCACCAATACACGTGCGAACACGTGTCCTTGTTTGCTCACTTGACCCATATCCTTGATTACACTGCCCCGTGCACTTTGACCATGTACTCCATGTTGACCATTTAGACCTATGGATATCTTTTAAAAAACAATGATCTAATTATAGCAAATGAAGATAGTAGTATTTAATACTTCTCTGGAAATGTCTGTTAAGTTATTTATATATCACTTCTTTCGTGCTAAGGAAGTGTGGCAACCTGGTGAAGGTCTGCATAGAATAAATTAAAAGCTTATACCAGGTTGTCTTAGATAAGAATCCATTGTTATACAATTGAAACGGTATTTGTTAAAATTAGATATTAATCTTTCATTCTAGGAACGAAAGTTTCGAGAACTCCTCAATTTGCAAAGTTTCTATGAGTAACGACAATATATTTTTAAGAATCAAGCAACGAAAACAAAAATAAAGTGTTTCAGTTAAAATATGCGCATTTGACACAAATATGGAAGTACATAAAATAATAACTCTCAATACTCATATGCATAGAAAAGTAACATAGAGCAGGCAACATGGCGTAGCCGGACATCGAACCCGGGCCTAAGGTTTGGCGGGCTATTGTCATCAATGCCATAGCGTCTTTTACGTGCTACGTGGCCTAATATTTAGAATTTAATATTTCAAATAATATTATATCGTGATGTTATTATTGTTACCGTGTTACCGGATTATATCTAAAAATAAATTAATCTTGTTACCGTGTAACCGGATTACATCTATTAACAAATGAAAAAGACATTACTATGGCAACGATAAACCTACCACAGAAATCTGAACTACACCCTTGCACTACGGACAACTCTTTTAGCACACGTTGTAGCGTTGCTTCAACACTGGCCAATCGGCTTTCCTGGTACAAAAAATAACATTTGTTTTCTAAATATTCAGTGTTTTAAATGCTTCTTTCTCTCAATCAACAACGAGTAAACTAAGGTTATTATCAATGGTAGGATACTACGTCATCGCGCACCTGCTAAATGCTAATGGGTTATACTATGTTTTTAGATTCTTCAATTTAAGATTTACGCAATAAAGCTAATAATATGTATTATAAATATCAGGATTGGCAAAGAGTGGATGTAAAATTATTGCTTCTTGGAGTTTAATTTGCAAGTTGAGCTATAAACACAAAGAAGTAATTATACTTTATATCATAATTCGATAAGTTACAATGAAAGTAATTCCCACTGGAAATGTAGTCAAAGCGTAGTCAAGATTTTATATTTATAGCTCTGGCGGCCATTTTGTGCCCTTGCACAACTTAGCCTAGATAAAAATAAAACTATACCAGTATCTGTACATTAGAATCCAAACATAATATACCTAAACAGATCATTTTTTGAATATATTCGAATGTGCCAAATTGAATATTTGAATTTTGGTTTAAACAGTTATACTTATTCCTTTTAACTAGAGGGAATCTAGAAATTCGTTATGTTATTTCAATATCAATAAAATCATAACACCAATTTATGCAAACTGTACTTACAACACTATCTTCCAGAACCAGACCTAGCGCGAGACTTAATCCAGCAACAACCATACAACACGCTAATAATTTCATTTTCGAAAAAGCAGTCCGGTTTGTAAAATCAATTCCCAACCATCTATGTGATTAAAGCATGTAAAACAGCGTAATGACGACGGTACGCCAAAGACAAAGTATATAATAGTTGAGTTGTTTGGTTAATTAAGGTATTTATGTTTCAAACATAGCAACCTTGCGATATGTGCAATACAACCTTGCATTCCTGTATTGATAAAATCTGATTTAATATTAGACGGCAAAGGTCATCCATAGTTATTTTTATGTTAGTTTTATAGGTATGGAAGGCCAACTGTGTCATTTCCAAATTCAATTTTAATCTTCCGATTTTCGCTGTATTTTCAGTCTACATGTATTTTTTACCATGTAAATGTTGTAAAATTATACATTAACACCATTGATGGGGAGGAATCGAGACTAAAACAATAATAAAAACACACATATAGTCCTTTCTGTGTCTCTTTAATGCAAATTTAGTGATTATTGTATTGATATAACAATGACCCTGGTTGAAACTGAAGTTTTTAACCTTTCCCACAAGTATACAGCCAGGCAGCCCTGTATATCCGTTAACGCTGACAAAGCTCTATACTGTTATTAAAGTTTCATCTTGATCTCCCTAGAAGTGATAATGGATATTTCCCAAAATGGAAGCTGGACGATTCCATTTAAAAATTTCAACATGATAAAGGTTACACATGTCGCAGGCCCATAGATACCCTCAATGAATCTTTTTCAGAGTAAGTAGAAAGAGGCAACATTAAAGTATTGAGTCATTATTCGATTATAAACTCTAAACACAAATATTAAAAGATAAAGAATGGAAATAATAATATGTTTATTCATTAAACATTTAAAATACTAGTATGCTATTTATTTTGATCACGGGAGACTGAATCGAGTCATGATTATGGTTTGCTCAAGATTAATTTCTTCTTACTTCTAAACATTTAAAGATCCTGTAACACATTTTTTAAATGTTTTTATATCATAAATATGTTCAAATAAAGATTTATCAATATTATAAGTTCCAAAAAGTATTATTTATAAAGATATTACCGAATTTAACATTTCGTGTAAATAAAGGGAGGTAATAAGAAATTTATTTTCTATAAAGTCTTAGTCATTTTTTTCAATAAGAAATGAGTGCATATATATAAATGATAACATATAATGTGCACAAATATTTGCAGTTCATATTTTACATATTCTTCGATGTTTAAAAATTGTTTTATAAGCATAATTATAAACATACATAAAATTTCACTTATGTGTTGTATACCACCTCAATTATAACATGCAGAATCTTTAACTTCATTATCTTTCCTATATATGCTATCAGTTTTATCAGTCCTGCATCTAATAAAAAACAGTTAAAAGCAAAAGAACTCCAAAACGTCTTAAGCGATTCATTTTAAATATAATTTGCCTTGTGAATAGTGTAGGCAATTGCTTATTTTATTCCGTTTAGTACTGTCGATTTTATCTTCCCTAATATTGACAACAGCAATAATTCGGACCACAACCCCCAGTGACAAATGAGCATGAAAAATATCTAAACATCATAAGTCCGGTTTTTCCTTCGTCCGTGTATACGTCAGGTTTAAGGACATTATGAGGTGGGTATACATGCAGTTCGTCAAAACAGCTGTATCTGCAAGTAAACAGTAAACAAGTAAAATGGTTTCCTGCGGGGAACATTTTTAATGATAAAAAAAGATATTTCATTTAACTACTTTCAACATTGTTTGGGGAAAAAAAATAAACGTTTGTATCAGGAATATAGTTGACAATCATCGGATCAATATAGAAGAAGGTATTTGGAAACTGGTGACCGTTGATGACCGGAGAAGGTCGAACATAAAACAATTATTTCTTTTTAAGAAAATGATTAAATGTGCCTACCTTTTTATGAATAATTCCGAGCAAAAAAAAGTAAACACACAAATTTACGCAGAAAATATCTCTTTATCTATTTATTATAGCAGATGCCTCTACGAATATTTTAATTTTTTGATTTTCAGTATAAACAATTCATTGTTTGTAAAATTTAAGATACAAATTAAAGAAACATTGATCATTTTCAAACACATCATTCAAGTTTTTTACACCTTAAACGGTAAAATAATTATAGAAAATTAGAAACATCACGTAATAATTTTTTGTTCTTAATTAGGTGTCACTCTTACTAAATCCGTAACGTACCGGCAAACGGTATTTAGCCAGGTTTTCGAAAAGGTCAATTAACCAATCAAGTACGGTTTACAGATCACATGCTCCTCCATCTACCGAAAACAGGTCACGTGCTCCTCCATGCCTCAAAAGTTAAACGCGTACCAATACCCTGCGGTCTCCAGACCGCAGGGAATGAATTTGATTATCAAAGTGCTTGGAAAACCCATGATTATCAAAGCGCTTGGAAAGACCGTGATTATCAAAGCACTTGGAAAGACCGTGATTATCAAAGCGCTTGGAGAGACCGCCTAGAAAGACCGCAAACTTGTCAAAAACTTGCGTTTTTCCTAGAAAAGTTATTTACAGCTCTATTGAATACATGTATATAGAATTATTTACTTATATAAGACTTAGAATGCAAAAAAAAAATGAACTGAACTTGCTTATGAGATATGCGACTATACGATTCGTTAATGAATCCCTCTTTTTTTCAATCCATAACACATACCCTGCGTTTGAACAAATTTGCGAACATTGCGGTGCTTTTCCGGAATTGCAATTTCGTCGCAATGCAAGCACGTGTGAGGCAGTTTTTACAGCAGCCGTGCACGCGCTTTGTGCCAGCTCATCAAAGAAGTTGTAAACCATGCCATATGTATTGTTCGTGCTTTGTGCCGTGTTAAGACAACCTGAAATAATTGAGGCAACGCCACTGAATAATACGTCACTTTAAAAGTCATAAAACCGGAACTAGTGATATTGCCTTTGATATTTTGATAGTTGTAATATATCTACAAGTAATAGATATTGTAAAATAACCCTTAATGAAAGGATCATCAGAAACGTAAGGGAAAAAAGCTTCTCATTCATGGGTGATTATTTCGTTCTTTCGCCCTTTGGGAGGTAATATTTCTATAATTTACTTGTATATATGACAACACCATCCATATGACTTTCTACCAATGATTTGGTGTTGTTGACAAACCGTCAACGTTCCATAAGCTTGCTGGATAGCTTCAACTCATGAAATAATCGAAAGTCTCTGTTGGGATTTGAACCCACAGCGGTGATAAGCAAGTTTGGTTTTGTTTCTTACCATACAGTTCTACAGCATTACAAGGCCTTTTGTCTGTTTCCGTGGAGTCACCTGTACACTGCACAGCCTGACCTTCTTGTCCTTGACCGATACACGTGCGTGCACGTGTTCTTGTTTGCTCGCTTGATCCATAACCCTTATCACATTGACCTGTGCACTTTGACCATGCGCCCCAGGCCGCCCATTTTGTCCAGTGTATATCTAGGATTATGCGCAAACTTGATTATAAAATCATTTTTACAAATTTATATTAAATTTGGTCGCATTGCAAAATGAATCAATATGTTTATTATATACTTATAAATGAAAAATTGAGACATATTGATGAAATAAAATGCGTATTTTCATTTTTCGTATTCTAACTGTAAAAATGTATTTTTAATTGCAGTGAAACATATTTTCCGTATTTCAACTGGTGTCTTGTCGGACTACTTTCTTCTAAATATTGCCAGTACACACAATTTTAGGGAAAGTCTTTTAAATCGTAATGTAAAAAAAAAAGAGAAAAATGTATGTAATAAACAGATAATTCTTTTTTTATATAAATACAGGATTTATTTTCATCTTGTGGTATGAAAATTATCATGTTTCACTCGTGGCTACCGCCACTCATGAAATATTTAGTTTAATCATATTTTATTGCTAATATGTACATGTAAATATACAGAGAAAATATACATGTAAATATACAGAGAAACAAATTGATTTCGAAATAACAAATAGCAAAAGGGTTGGGCCCAAGTTCTTACAACATTAGCGATCGGCCCTCCCCCTGAAAAAATATATTAATCAACATTGATGGCATTTATATGAGAAAGTGTGACATGTATACATATAAAGCGAACAAAGAAAAAAATAAAGACAGATTAACATAAAAAAATAAAACAATGTAAGAAATAAGTAAGACAGAAAAATGTATATTTATGTATTTATATAATAACGACAAGGTTAAGGATCCAGCATTTAGCATTATTCGTCATTGGGAGTAAACGTCCATCATAAATGTGATTGTCAATTATTTGTGGTACCAGGTTATTAGGATTAATACAATCGGCCGATTTACAAAAATATCATGTGTTTCGAAAACGGTCAGTAGTTTTGATAAATTTTTGGACAGCCGCAAATATTTGTTCATTATTGTTAACATCTAAAGAATTGCTACCCCACAGTAATAGCTCAACATTAAGAGGATGAAAAATTCTGGTTTCTGCGAAGAGTATAAGTCTCTGAGGTTTAAATAATGGACAGCAAAATATATAGTGCTCGGCATCCTCACAAAGGTTCCCACATATACAAGTCGGACTTTCTCTCAAATGATTTTTGAAAAGGTCAGCGTGTAAGTTGCTACAATTGTTCCTTAAACGAGCATGTAAAACTGACAAATATTTTATACCAAACAAAAAGTGTTTAGGTACTACGGGGGCTTTATACTTTTCCTTCATTCTAGATTTAAAAATATTCAATTTGTTAATTTCGCGAATTTCGGTGTCTAATGCATTCCATAATTCAGTAGCAGAAGGTATAAATGATTTGTTGTACGTTTCGGTGCGCCTAGCTATGGTTATGTAATTGTTGTTGTTTCTTAACGAGTAATTTGTTGTTTCTGAAACCAGCGATTCAAGGTATTGTGGAAGAAGACCATTTTTAGCTTTAAAAACCGTAACTAATTTTTGTAAAAAAAACCTAGCCAACTTTTTTATAAGCGAATTGATCGATACCGATTTGGTAAGACCTGTTACTATGCGTGCTGCATCAGACTGTAGTTGTTCAAGTGATTGTTTTTCGTATACTGTACATCCGTCCCACACAACTGAGGCATATTCTAATACACTGTTTTGGACTATGATCGGACGCATGTATGAAATGTAAATTTTATTTAGAGTGGAGCGTTTCAGTTTAAACTTAAATACACGCATGGTACTCAAAACTTTACAGGCTGGTGTAATAATGTTACCAATATGCTGATGCCATTTTAAATCCGTTGAAAAAGTTATACCTTAATGTTTGTGACGATCTACAAAATCAAGACAGTATCATTGAAAAGGAGAGTAGGCTTTCATAGTACATGTAGCTAGTGGTTGTTATTAACTTTATACCCTTGGATAAAGCTATCCAACTATAGCTCTAGATAAATATTTAAGATGGTTGTTTGTCTATGGTACCAACAGGACACTTTTTCTTATCACTATCGCCAGCAACATATCTTTATTTGAGCCGCGTCACGACAAAACCAACATAATGGGTTTGCAACCAGCATGGATCCAGACCAGCCTGCGCATCCGCGCACTCGAATCGGGATCTATGCTGTTCGCTTACAAACTCTATTACAAGTAGCAAAACTGATAGCGAACAGCATGTATCCTGATCAGACTCCGCGGATGCGCAGGCTGGTCTGGATCCATGCTGGTCGCAAACGCACTATGTTGGTTTTGTCGTGACGCGGCTCATTTCAGGACTAAGTAATGCCGCATTGGGTTAAAAAAGCGTAAAATTCTTACCGCAATAATCTGAGCTACACCCTTGTACAACAGCCAATTCTTTTGATAGTTGTTCAAATCTTACTTCCAATGTAGCTAAGCGAGCTTCCTTTGAAATAGAACAAAATTCCGTTGTTTTACTGTACATTTTAGGATCTTTATGTAATAATTTAGACACACTGGTATGTGGTAAACAATATTCTTCATATCAGTATCAATAAACAAATAATATTATCATAACGTCATCTAAATCTGAAACATCGGTACATTTCGGTAATTTCCGTGGAAATATATTATTATTAAAGATTATTTAAATTTTTGACAGGTTATATGGCCCTATATAAACGGTTGCTTGTATGTATAATAACAAGCCGCTAGGCGAGGGTTCTATTGAAAATAACCGACTATATACGACCATATAACCTGTCAGGAATCTTTATAACGAAAATATCATAATACAACAAACTATCGTTTTTTAGAGGAATAAGTGAGATTTCTTCGTAAATTGACACGGTTATATATAGAAACAACTCTCCAAGTAGGGACATATAACTTGTCAAAAAATCTTTATAACTTATAATATAAACGTCACGATTGTCCAATGAAAAGCAACGTTACAAACGTGCCATATAATAAGAAAATCGAATTTAAACGTATTTTAGTAAAGAATCAACACATAATTATTCCTACCAATTCACACAGAACGAAACGAAACTGGGCAAATTTATTGGATGTATCGGTGCGCCGTTCGACCTTGGAATAAATGTATTTTTCTCGGAAATTCACGAAGGAATGCCCGAAACAGAAACATGTATTGGTTTTGTTTCAGAAAATAATGTAACCATTCTAAATAAGGTTTAAGGAATGCAGTTTTATTTATCAGTAACAATTGCATAAAATAAGGATACCTGTCAAAGATGTCCTATATTACTTGTTACAGTAAAGATTACATATAAAAAGATCCAATCCTACTTTTTCTGAATGAAAAGTATTGATAATTATGTAAAAAGTTTTAGCTTCACCAAATCAAAAAGAAAGTCCATTTATTATTTCAATATGTAAATTAAGACAAAATATATTTCTATACTTACAACACTGTCTTCAAGAAGCAGTCCGCACGTAATGCTTGTGCACCAGAAAATTAAACCTGTAATTAGAAAACTCTTCATTATTTAATGAATAAATTAAAAACGCAGATCTTCGATAACGGACGCAACCTATGCACTGCGCGTAGAGATATAAATGAAAATAAACATAGTCCACTAGTAAGTGTTAAATAATTAGAGGTAACTTCCTCTTTCAAATTCCTCTGTTGGTAACGTCTGATATTGTCGTTATAAATTCATGTTGTAGACAGGCGGAAGTTGGGGTGAGGGGGGTTAGAGGGGTCATCCGATAATCAGTTTGTGTTTCAAAAATATCATGAGCAATGAACTGTATCTTCACTTTATTCTTCCGCATACTAAGCAAAGTCTTAGTGCAATATATTTAAACATTTTGAGGGTTTAACTGACAAACTGTATTACTAAAATTGATTGATTCATGGATTCGTGGGTTCGCTCGTCCGTCCGTCCGTCCACCCACCCACCCATTCATTCATTCATTCATTCATTCATTCATTCATTCATTCATTCATTCATTCATTCATTCATTCATTCATTCATTCATTCAACCTCGTTGTTTTCATACCCGTATTTGATTACATTTGTACTTGCACAGTCTTATACAAAAGTGAGATATTTCCCTTTTTCCAGTTTTTTAAGTGTCAAGTGCTGCTTGGAAGTTGCAAAAACAAGGGCTATTGTGTATACTCGCACTGTACGTAGTGGCAAATTTAGAATAACTCACACGGTCATGAGAATTCATGTTACTCGAATGGTCATTACGCAGGGTATATCACATGTACGGGGAATGGGATGTTGTTCACGTGGCCATGAGATATCGTTTGGTAACTCGCGATGGTCTTCAGGGCCATTTAACTTTTAATATAAATTTGGTGTCACTTGGGCAGTCCGGTATGCGTTGATTAGTAGCCCATTCATGAGTTCTTATTTTAGATTTTTTTGCATAGTCATGTGGAATTGAGGGTAACTCGCACGATCGTAATCAAATTACTTGCACAGTCATAGGGATTTGTAGGTTACAGGGTTACTTGTACAGTGATGGGGAAGTATAGTCAGTTGTTGGTTACATACACAGAAATGGGAATTGAGTATTACTCGCACACTTATAGGGAGCTGAGAGTTACTGGCACGGTCAAATGGAACTGATGGTTAACCACGGTCATAGAAAATTGTAACTTGAACAGTGATTAGCTCGAGAATTACTCAGGGACACTTGTATAACTTGAGAGATATATACTTTCACGGTCATTAGGGATTGTTCATTACATGCACGGTCAAAAGGAATCAAGTGGAATGGTTAGTAAAACCTACTTGCACGGTCATTTAAAAGCAAGACTATGGGATATGCATGGGGCGTTACTCGCGCAAGGTTATAGGAAATCTCTTAAAGATAAAAAAATTTTATAATATGATATAAAAAGTATAAAACGGCTACTTTTTAGATAAACATCCATGCACTATGGTGAATGGCGGCTGTTCTCACTTCTGTTTCCCTATCCCGGCTAAGACGAGTAATGGTTCCCGTACAGTGCAGAAGCAGTGCGGATGTCCGTTCGGAATGAAATTGGGTGATGATAATCTTCACTGTGAAGTTAATGCTACGGAGAAACGTACAGAAGGTGAGTACTGTGTTTCTATTAGATTTACTATCTATCGTAAAGTAATCGATTATTCTACGATAATTATTTTAAGTTGATATCTTTTTATCGATGTAGATTTAGATATGGCAAGATATTGCGCAAAAAGTGAAAAAATGGACCTTAAGCACGTGATTTGAACAGAACAGAATTCTTTACTTTTGATACCAGCTATAAATACATAAATAGTTAGGCCTGCGCACACCTGCTGAATGTCAGTTAGGGCTTATCAGCTTGTAAAACACTTTTAACTGTATATCTATCATTAACACATCCAATGAGTTGAGAGTCTTGCCATCACTAATTGGCCATCTGTATTCTTATCTAATGGCCCTAAAGTTGAAGGATCAAATTGTACACACAATTATATCAGTGTTTTTCTCCGTTCTTTTGTGAATGTGTCTGCAGCCTATTCGAATTGTGAAACTTTAGTAACGTGCGGGGAGTGCCATATATATTATAATAAACAGCTTATTACATAAAGTTCCATAGCTAAGAGTCACTGTTTCTCAAGTTTAAAGTCATATACAATTTGACAATAAACAATTGTGTAAAAAAGAGATTATCTTTTGGCTTTGTGAATGGTGCCCTATTTTGAGCCCGAAACTGCATGAAAAAAGAGTGTTTTATTACAAAGTACAAGACTAGCTCCTATAGCTACAGGTAAGTGATGTGCTAATTATTTTCTAATAAATAAATTATATAATTAGAGAGTGAGATTTATTATCTTAATGTCTTGGACATTGAAGAAACTCTTAGAAGATCGAACAAAAACATGAGGCAAATTTTGAAAAATCTGTATTTTTTTCATTTTCTTAATAGATTGTAATGGTGTATACTTTATTAGCTCACCTGTGCCCAAAGTGCTCAGAGGTTGGCTTTTGTGATGACATTGCGTTCGTCCGTCTGTCGCTATCTACAATATCTTCCTACACTACTATTCTGGGTTTTGCGAATCAACAGTTAATGTCCAAAGGTTAGATATTTGGCTTTGAGAATTGCCAAGTAGACCTCTACAAAAAATGTGGAAGTCAAGCCAATGGGGTCAAAAAATGGCCCGTCTCGGAGTTATCTTTGTTTGCATGGACTTGTATAGTAAAAATATCTAAAAAAAACTTCTCTATACTTGGCTTGTAGTTAGAAACTTGGCCTGTAGTTAGAAAGTTGGCTTGTAGTTAGATACTTGGCTTGTAGTTAGAAACTTGGCTTGTAGTTAGATACTTGGCTTGTAGTTAGATACTTGGCTTGTAGTTAGATACTTGGCTTGTAGTTAGATACTTCGCTTGTAGTTAGACATTTGGCTTGTAGTTAGATACTTGGCTTGTAGTTAGATACTTGGCTTGTAGTTATATACTTGGCTTGTAGTTAGATACTTCGCTGGTAGTTGGAAACTTGGCTTGTAGTAGATTATTGGCTTGTAGTTGGATACTTGGCTTGTAGTTAAATACTTGGCTTGTAGTTAGATACTTGGCTTGTAGTTAGATACTTGGCTTGTAGTTAGATACTTGGCTTGTAAATAGAAACTTGGCTTGTAGTTACATACTTGGCTTGTAGTTACATACTTGGCTTGTAGTAAGATACCTCGCTTGGTGTTAGATACTTTGCTTGTAGTTAGATATTTGGATTGTAGTTAGAAACTTGGCTTGTAGTAAGATACTTGGCTTGTTGTTAGATACTTGGCTTGTAGTTAAATACTTGGCTTGTAGTAAGATACTTGGCTTGTAGTTAGATACTTGGCTTGTAGTTAGAAACTTGGCTAAAAGTTAAAAACTTGGCTTGTAGTTAGATACTTCGCTTGTAGTTAGATACTTGGCTTGTAGTAAGATACTTGGCTTGTAGTTAGATACTTCGCTTGTAGTTAGATACTTCGCTTGTAGTTAGACATTTGGCTTGTAGTTAGATACTTGGCTTGTAGTTAGATACTTGGCTTGTAGTTAAATACTTGGCTTGTAGTTAGATACTTCGCTGGTAGTTGGAAACTTGGCTTGTAGTTAGATTATTGGCTTGTAGTTAGATACTTGGCTTGTAGTTAAATACTTGGCTTGTAGATAGATACTTGGCTTGTAGTTAGATACTTGGCTTGTATATAGAAACTTGGCTTTAAGTTACATACTTGGCTTGTAGTTACATACTTGGCTTGTAGTAAGATACCTCGCTTGTAGTTAGATACTTCGCTTGTAGTTAGATATTTGGATTGTAGTTAGAAACTTGGCTTGTAGTTAGATACTTTGCTTGTTGTTAGATACTTGGCTTGTAGTTAAATACTTGGCTTGTAGTAAGATACTTGGCTTGTAGTTAGATACTTGGCTTGAAGTTAAAAACTTGGCTTGAAGTTAAAAACTCGGCTTGTAGTTAGATATTTGGCTTGTAGTTAGAAACTTGGCTTGAAGTTAAAAACTTGGCTTGTAGTTAGATACTTCGCTTGTAGTTAGAAACTTGGCTTGTAGTTAGATATTTGGCTTGTAGAATCACATTGTGGTCATTTAAAAAAGTTACATAAATCCTGTCCCTTGTGGTCAAAATTGACCCCGCTCCGGATGTCGCTTGGCTTATATAGAATTTTATAAAAATACATTTTAAGTCTTCTTATCGTGAAATTTAAGTGTGTAGAGCGCTGATATTATGCATTTTGCATAACCTACTATAATGGATATCTACACAAAAGTCATATTATATTAGTCATACACCCAGGTCACTACTCAAAAATATATTGACGTGCCTGTGATATTTTCGTTCTGGGTCAGAATCACAAAATAGCACAATATTTCGCCGCGCGATACAATTAGTTGGAAATTCAAAGCTTCTTTGAAGAAAATCGAAATGTGATTGTACCCTTCTGACTTTCCTCTATATTAACACATTATTGTTCCGGATTTTTATGAAGTTTTCGTGAAGAAATTATTTCCGTCGTTGGTTCTGGTGTGCCCAAAACATGCAATGCGTATGCAGAAAATGTCACTGAACGGACTCCAAATACATATATCGACTTATTACTCACATCTGGATGAGCGGAATTTCACATATATATTTTTACCGATGCTCAATTTTGAGATCCATATGGGGTTCCATCCCTGTGACACTTGCATGGTGTGGTAACTCTGAAACTTTATCTCATGTAAACAATACCACGTGCGGTGCGGTGCATTTTGAGAATCAAGGGATATTTTCAAGTCTTATCACATTTAACTTCATGATTTTTTTCTACATGCAATTAAACAATTACTGAAATATCTATAAGTTTATCGTTTAGATTTTAGAGTTTTACCTTTAATTCAGTGTTCAGTTCTGGAATTATGGTCAGTATAGAAACTATGCGAATAACCTTCATTTTATACAATGGGTCATCTTTCTGATACCGATAGATATCAAAGCACTGAAAGTACTGTTGGAAGGACCCCACCTTTATCATAGGAAATTCCCAATGCGTGTGTAATCCAAAAAAACATAAGGAAAACTTATGTAGGCGGAGAGCTTCAATCTAACAGAATTAACCGCTGACTTATGACGGTTAAAATGTGACGTCATTTGTTTTTCCGTTTGTTTGCACTACTCATGTTCAGTGGGCTTTAATGTCTTGGCCCAGGTGCCCCATCCACCCAATAATTCTGTGACACTCATAATCAGTTGAAATCATAGGCAATTCTGTTACTAATATAGTAAATAAGTGAATTGATAGATAATACTATTGCATTATGAACACAAAGAACCACTCAGTTTGACCTAAATCGGCCATGACTTATATAACTACTTCATAGGAATTCAAGACCATGCCATAAGCATTATTTAATCATAGTTAATGAAGAGACTTTTTTATTTTTAAACTCAAGGACAAGAAAAGCTCATCATGTGCTTACATTTGTAAGTTCAAACACATAACTAATTGTGTTTTAGTATGAAATTGATGTACATTTGCTGTTTAAAGTCATAGCAAAACAAAGAACAATGATTTAAAATAAACTTTTATTGTTCAAAAACTTGCATAAAAGTAAAAATATATGTAATATAAAAAATAAAATGATTAAATATATGGAGATAATGAATTTAGTTTGTCAGATAAAATGTGTAAAAGGAACTCCACTGAGGTTTTTTGACATGATGAGACTGAAATTTATTTTCTAGTTAATGTACCACTCGATGTATGTTTTGACCACTAATCTTTGAGAAAAAAATTTCAGATCATTTGCGCACTTCGTTTTTCAAAGAATAATTATTTCAAATTGTAAAAAAATGACACAAAATGAAAGCGTTTAAAATCATATCACGCAGATCAGGCTGAGAAAAGCATAAAAAAAAATGATTTCAATTTATTTCAAAGATATTTCTTCACTATCTGTGCATATATTTCTGTATCAAGTGCCCCGGCTCATTTTTGTAGAAATTCAAATGTTACGTTTTTAGGCTTTTAAACCTCAATGGAGTGAGTCCCTTTAAATTATTTGGTACATATTGAGGTGACACAAGTTATAACAATCTGAATGAAAGAAGCTTTAATGCAAGCGGCCAGTAATATATTGGGGGTGCTGTTTTAAGGATTTTTTACATACAAGACTGACATTATACAACAAAATATAGTCAAAAGTAGAAATGTGCCCATAAGACTTGAATGCCTGCGTTAAGAACAATGCTTATATTGAGTGGGTAATCAAAATATGTACAGAATTAGACAAGCCCACTGGCATCATATATCAAGCCTGTTTGCCATTATTCAGAACTGAACCTTAAAGCTTCAGATTGGGGAGAAAGATGTATACATACAGTGAACATTTGTGATAAATGTTTATGAAAATCTAGCCATGTATATAGAAATATACTCTCATGTTTTAAGTTATTATTTGACTTTTGATCCAAAGTAGTGACTTGATCTTTGCAACAGACACCTGATTTTTCATACTACATTCCAAACTCACTAAAGACTGTTAAATTTGTCCAGAGTTTATATGAAAAATCTTTATAGATTTCAAAAGCATTCAAATATTATCAGT